AAAGAAACTAGTGGCCAGACTTGAACGCACGAGCTCACGTTATTGAAGATGAAATCACGTGATATGGAAGTATCCTCCTACTGTTTTAGGGCAGCGGTTCTCAACCTTCTTTGGGGGTCGAACGACCCATACACAGGGGTCATTTAAGAATCTAAAACAAGGGTGTCAACCTCAATCGCTCGGCGGGCAAAAATCTCAAATCACACGTAAGGTGGTGGGCTGAACCGGATAAACATTCAACAAGCGGAAAATTAAAACTTTTTTAAACATTAATATAAATTAAAGCAGCAAAAAGTTTTTTAAAATTAAAACTCATTGGCATACTCATTTTTGCTCTTTTGACCTCTTATTGTAGGTCACTACGTTGTTCGCAGAAATACTTTTAGATTTAGGCTAATCTTAACTAACAAATTAGAGAGAAATCTCCGGAGTTATAAATATTTTATATAATAGACTACAAAATTATTGGCCACAATCTCTTTTAAAATCTTTTATTTACTTTCCACCCACTTTCCCCGGTACTTTCCATCAAGGCACTCGCACCACCTGGTCAATTATTCAAAATGCAATCATCAAACAAAAAACAAAAACAAAAAAAACTCATCTTTTCAACAAATTCAACTCCACATGCGAAAAAAAACCCAGAAAAAAACGAGACTATACTTCTGCAGGATTCAAACGTGTGAAGGTGAAGGTGGCCTCCACTGCATTAAAAGTGAGGCAGGTGGCCTACGTAAATAGGCAACCTGGTTCTATGCGGGATAGCCCACGACATGATCAGAAAGCAAATATTGGCATGACACTAATCAGCACTGCTTTGACTGAGACCAGTATTTATGATGTCAATCAGAGTATCGACGCATCGATATAGAACAAACCTAAATGGCCCTTAAGAGTCATCCTTGACTATTCCATCCACATCCATCACTGTCGTCCACTCAACAACACCTAGAATTTCCTCAGCCCTTTACCTTTGCCCTCTCACACTCAACCCAAAAAGCACATAAGCGTTGTCCTCTTCACATCATTGCACTATAAGAATCTCTTCTCGTCCACTACCCCCTACCCAAAGCCCCCTCCCCAACCACCATCTTTATTCTCCTACCCCAAACCTCCTTGGGTTAAACTGATCCCATCACTTACAACTTAATTCCCCACCCAGCCCCCCTCTTACCCCCATCCTCTCCCCTTACTATCTCCACGCCCCTCTTTATCCCATGTCCATGTGGTTAAATCGTACTATTACCTTATTTGAATAATTTACTTTAAAAAATTGAATGTGTCTACTTCATCATTTGCTCCTTACATAATTAGAGCAATCAAAAATAACAAAGACTACTATAAGTTAAAACCCGCCAAAAAAATGTCGACAACAATGCCTGAACTTCTCATCTACTAAAGTTACTGAACACAACATGTCGTATGCAAGTAAAGAAAAAGAAAACCTTTTTTTTCCCACGTCCCTGAACTATTTTATTATTGTAATCCCACCCCACACCCCCATATTATTAGTTTATTTTATACTGTAAATTTCCTACATCAAATTTAAATTGAGAATATATCCTTACAATTTAGAACGAAAGAAAATATTCCACATTATAAGCATTTGCGGTATTTTTAACAATCTCATTTAGCGAAGTTATCTGTCATTTTGTTTGGCCCGCTATTGAACTCCCCATTACACTGCAGTTTCTTTGAGAATTTTGGTATTGACGGCTGCATACCCGTGCTTCGTTACGATGTTGGAGGAAAGTACAAATATGGTGCTTGTATTTTTCCTTGTCTAGTATTTCCTTTAGTCGGTAAGAGTAGAAGTTGGAAGCAGAAATTTTCTTAAAAATGATTGTGGAATTTGGATCACTGGGGGGGTGGGGGGGGCGGCGCAGAACATAAGAGGGTAGCCTAGTGGAGAGCGCCATAAGCATGATGAGTTTCGCTTATCGACATCAGCTTGGAGTCTCTGCTATAAAGAATCATATCTTGCTTTTCAAATTTCTGCTCCGGAATGACAAAAGCCATCCCGCGAGTTTTCCTCATCCCGCAATTTCCGAGGAGAAATCCCGTGGAAAAAAAGAATTTGATTAAAAATATTTTATTATGATTTGATTTTTATAGTTGTTTCGTCGTGATTTTCTATTAATGGATAAATAACAAATGTTAAGGTTAGTCTAGTTGAGAGGATGGTTACTTGCTACTAGTAGGCCTACTCGATGGTTACTTGCTACTAGTAGACCTACTCGATGGTTACTTGCTACTAGTACTCGATGCTTCATGTTCCACTGCTCATCCCCAGCAATGGATAACTAGCTAATAATATTCTTGTTAAGCAAAAGTCAGATGTAATCGGCTTTAAAAAAAACAAAAAACGAAGCCTTTAAAAAACAAATGAGTTTTCCATTTTGTATAGGAGACTCGATTCTATCGTGCGGCATATCGCAACTCCAGGAGAGACAACTTAATCACGCCGTTAAACTTCTGACCTTCCGGAATGTTGAACACTGCTTTAAAAAAAAAATTCTTAAATATGGGTTGTGATCATGCAGCAATTTTTTATTATTTATTATGGATGACCGAGGTATCGTGACGTACGGCATGAAAGAGGTTAGACCGAATTTCTGCTTCTTTTACATCAATGCCAAGAATATATTGTAAGAATGAGGGACTTTGTTGAGATTATGGTAACACAGTTCCCATTCTGTGATTAACTTGGCCTTGAATAATTTTAAAAGTTGACATTCATTTCATCCTTGCACATCCTTAGCTCCGAAGGTCGTCAATTGAAAGCATTCATCATTTTTTTTCTGAGACTCTCGGAGACCTAGCCATACATTAAATACACTATAGCTACTGTAAAAGACCACCATTGAGTTTTGTTTAATATCTTGGTAAAGTAGACTTTCACAGGGAACTTCAGTCCCTTAAACTAAACAAGGTAGTCAGAGGGAATCATAGGAATATGGGGTAATCAAACTGTTTATCCCACACCACAGCCTGTGAAAATTGTTCCTAAACTAAAGGCATTTCTATGAAAGGCCAAAAAAATAAATTTAAAAAAAAATAATAATAGTAATAATAAAAATAAAAATGTAAACGTGCTTGGGAATTAACAGATTGTAGTAAACAATGCAAATGCTTTCATTTTTAGCGGGAGGAGGGGGAAGATTTCCGAGCTAAACGGGGGAAGGGGGGGGGGCAAATGTTGATAATTCTAAAATCAAGGTGTAAAGTTTGGCATACACCTGAAATACGTATTTCAGAAAATTTGATCCGACTACGGGGGAAATTTTAGGCGTTGGGGGGAGTGTCTATCACCTCGCAAAGCAGGCATTATGGCACCCATTGTTATACATTAGCCTAATTGCACTGCGGTTCTGGTGCCCCCAGGTTAAGATTTTTCGCCCCAGCTCAGCTTCATCTCGCACAGTTACGCTATTTATTTTGTCCACATCACACTATTCGAGGCCCCTTTGCACCCGTAGAGGTTGATGGGCCCACTTGACAGCTCTTAGGATATACCATTCGAGGCCCCTTTGCACCCGTAGAGGTTGTGATGGGCCCACTTGACAGCTCTTATGATATACCATTCGAGGCCCCTTTGCACCCGTAGAGGTTGATGGGCCAACTTGACAGCTCTTATGATATACCATTCGAGGCCCCTTTGCACCCGTAGAGGTTGATGGGCCCACTTGACAGCTCTTATGATATGGCCATTCGAGGCCCCTTTGCACCCGTAGAGGTTGATGGGCCCACTTGACAGCTCTTATGATATGGCCATTCGAGGCCCCTTTGCACCCGTAGAGGTTGATGGGCCCACTTGACAGCTCTTATGATATGGCCATTTATGGCTTATGGAAATTCAAATTAATCTTTCGTTTATTTCTGCATCCCTGATTCTTAGAAACGTACATGTGTAACTTAGACTACACAGGGATTGGTAAATCGATGAGACAAAACTTTGAAAGAGTAAATCATCGAGCGAGAAAACATTGTGCAGACCAAATTTATGCAGTTCATTCCTTTAGGTCAGTGGTCGGCAAATCGCGGCTCGCGAGCCGCATGCGGCTCTTTAGTGACCTGAGTGCGGCTCGAGCTACTCGGCCACAAATAGGTTTTCACTCTGAAAAACATGGTTCTTGAAAAGTTCTTGAAAATAAATTTGTCTCTCAAAATTTTGTTAAACACCCTGCTACTGATTTTTGGCTCTTTTGACGAATGAGTTTTCCGATCACTGATTTAGATCTATAAGAATCTATCTATTGAAAATTTTGTTCAAGGAGGTCCAAAAAATTAATTAACATTTTTTGTTGTTGTTGCTGGCATCCTTCCATCACAATGTGACGAAGATGTTGACTTCGCGTGACGAAATCCACAAGGCCTGGGATTATTCTTCTAGGATTATAAGCTGGTCCCCAACAGCAAATCACCGCTCTCCACGCCGCTGGATAACCCAAGAGAACATCATGTGGATGATACAACCTGGGACCAGAGGCGTCGCAGAAGATTGCGGAGTGTTTCATTGTACCAATGTGATCCGCCTACGGGACTCCATCTCCGGGTTTGAATTCAGGGTTTCCTTGTCTTAGACGAGTTGCCATCCACCCGGGGCCGGGGTGCTAGTGCTGGTGATGTTTTTGCTTGACTGGGCTTTGGTGGGGTTTAACATTTAGATTGGAGAGAATGCCACTGATTCGATGTGCCCCGGGTCCCCACAATACTTAAATAAAAATATTTATTTTAAAAAATAATAATTTAACTATTATTTTAGAAAAGAAAAGGAAAAAAAAAAAAAAAAAAAAAAAAAAAAACCAATAATATAAAAAGAAGAAATAATAAAAATATTTATTTTAAAAAATAATAATTTAAATATTATTTTAGAAAAAAAAAGGAAAAAAAAAAAAAAGAAAAGAAAAAGTACCTATTATATAAAAAGACGAAATTTTTATATCGAGCACATTTTCTCCCTGAGTGTTATCCCTAGCAACTATAAAGGGAGAATACGGTACTGGAAAAGCTGAAAGTGTATTGTTATTAAAGAAAACACATTCTTATTCTTATTAATTAAGTACGTACATATTTATTTGACGATAAAATCCAGTACACACTAACAAAATTTATACACGATACAGTAGTTATTAAAAATATTTAACCCTTTAAAGGACCTAGAGTTAAATAATCGATCCGTGGCCTTGGCAAATGCCTCAACGACAGACCACAGGTGAATCATCATCACTCATACTCATAGTGAATGATTGTGACATCTTAATTAAAACATAACTGGAAACAGCTGAGCTAATTCATAAATTTACCATAAATCGATCACCAATTGATTAGTGATAACTCTTTATGTCAATTTATGCCCACCTAGTAGAATAAAATACTTTTTTGTTTTGATTGAACTTTAACTTTTAACCTTGTGACTTGTGGCAATGTATAATTTAAATTACCATTATCTTTTGTCCATATACAATTCTTAGTATTATTCTTGAAATATGTGAAATAACTTGATCCTTAGTCTATTATAACAGTCACATAATAATTCTGGATAGCGGCTAGGCCATGCGTGTCCGGGTCCCTTTAGACTTTAGAGTAGACTAAATGCTATTTCGATGTCATTGTGTGATAGTTTATTTTAGTTAAACTGAAGAAGTAATTTTAAACAAATATAGTCCATTCGATTATCTTTCATTTGATACCTAATTTTGTCTTACAAACCCTACAATAATATTTTTAATATTTTTTAATAAACCCAAACTTTCACTTCTGATACCTGGGTCCGAATAGTCGCAGCCATAATTTAATTAGCTTATTTAAATCATTATTTATATAAGTATAACAGTTAATTACATTGTTAAGAATTACATCAAATAAGGATTCCTTTTTATTTTTATTCATTCCAGATGGCAGATGTGTAACCTTTTATGAGAGTTGATCTTTATTTTTATTATCAATCAAATTTTTTTACTTCAAAACCTTTTTGGGAATTTAAAAAAAAGTATAGCTATACCCTAAGAAAAATGAGTCTTCAGTGTCGACCGAATTTCTCAGAAGTTGATATTAGTTTTGATATGGAGCGTCTTTTTGATCCATATAATTTTGATCATATTCCAATTGTGAAAAGACTTGATCTTTTCAAAAAAAGGGATTTGGCACATATCAAACATTATAAAGCAGCCGTAAAAATATTTGGGGGACCTCAAAAGCGTACTAGAGCTATTATTGCTCCACCTATGGAAACTCCATTTAAGCACAGGCTTGGTCACTATCATAATGTTGTTTCACAACCTCCTTCCCTAATACTAAATGGGTCATTAAAAACTCCTCCAGTCGTAATTAAAGAGCCATCAGAGCAAGAACAAAAATGTTTTCAAGAAAGGGAGAAACGTTCAAATTACAAAAGCTGGATAGAGAAAAGAAAAAGGCTTCGTCTTGATCTTGAAAATTTAGCCCTTAGTGAATCACTCTTGTCAAGAAAAGCAAATAAATCAGAGCTGGAAAAACGAGTGCAAGCAAAGTTTCGCTCTGCCAGGTTATGGAAACCAGATGAGCCATCACCACCTGACCAAGTTCCAGCCCCTAAACCTTTACCTGATGTTCCTAGAATGTCTGTCCCACCGCCCGATGGTCTTCAGATACTTGATAAATTTCTTTCGCTAAATCATATGCGTCTAATGGATTTATTCTTGCTGGCTGACAAAGATAAAAGTTGGACAATTTCAAGGCAGAAATTCATAAGTCTTGTACAGCAGGTAATTGTTAAAAATAAGCAAAGAAAATTAAATGTGATGAAAAACTGTGAATCTCTATAAATTATTTTCATAGATTTCAAATTTACTTCCTCAGCAATAAATGTAAGAATATCTAATTAAGTATTTGATGACTAATGTAAAGCTGAAGGCCATTTAAACTTAAATATATTTTTATACATCATTTCTTTTTACATTTTTTCCTTTAGTGCAAGTTGTTGAAGCATCTTTTAATAACTTACTAATTTTATTCCTCCTGTTTTTTTTTTGTGTACATATTTCTCAATGAAATGTGTGACCATTATTGATGCATATATTAAAAAAATTATCCTTCATAAATGATTTTTTTTAAAATTTTGCCTTTCCCTTCCATAGTCAAATATACCATTAAGTGAAACTGAAATAGATGACCTGATTATCACATTGGACTCAGATTTAGATGATCAATTAAATTATCAAGAATTAAATAAAGGCCTAACAGAGTGGAGAAAGCAAAGGAGAGCACTCAAAAGACAAAATGGGGAAGATTGTTCTTCATGCACCAGTGCTGGTTCTTATGGTAGGTTCATTAACAATTATTATATTATATAACCTTGAAAATAATCACTACATAAGGAGGAGTGATCATAAAAATTTATTGGTGTAATATAATATGTAATCCAATAACAACTCAGTTTAAAGTTGTATTATATTTAACCCTGACAAGATTCATTTTTTAAAATAAACTTAAAGAAAATTATTATATTCGTTAAAATCTAATAAGTTATTTCAGAGAGGTTTGGATGAACAAGCTTCACAATACAAAAGATTTTATAGCCTTAAAAAGGCCTTATTTATCAAGACCATTTGATAAAACTAAATCATGCTTTCTTCATTTAAAATCCTGATAATATTATCTTCATAAAATACAGTTCGTACAAACAGCTCAGGTGCTTCATTTGAGAAAATTAAGTCCAGAGAGGCAAATATTCCAGAGCAAGAAAGGCCGGGAAATATCATTTCTGAAGATGAAACCCCAATAAGAAAAGAATCAGGCTGCTCACAAAATCAATATGAAGACAATACAATGCAAAGAAGAGATTTGCTTGATACAACAGTTATACATAAAACTACTGGAAGAAGAAGCCAGACTGAAGGCATTGAACATGAGAGTGAGCAGATATCGGATCATGAATCGAGATATTTGACAAAATATGATTCCAAGAACCAACCAATGGCATTTGTGGAGAAAATAACTTTACAGGATCATGTCCAAAAGTCTGATAACTACCTGGTAACAGAATATCATACTGTTATAAATGGAGAGGACAAAACATTTTCTGATCAGACACACGAGGTCAAGGTAAATATATATTTTAATGTAAGAGAAGGATACATTTCTCAGATCACTTTTGTTGAGTTTTCATACATGCCTAATAACAATATGCTGTTTTACACTAATAAAACATAATCAAGTGACCAGGGTCAGTAATTTGATTTTAGATCTTAATATGATTTCTTCATCATGTTTTTTTACCATCAAAATCCTTATGTTTTTAGACTATCATCTTTTCTGAAAACTCAAGACCTATGTCACATAAAACAAACGCAAGCTCAAGGACCCATAGTAGCACACCAAACACATTAGAGCCACCTGAATTAGACTTACGACAGGAAGCAAGAATACCAGAATCCCCAGAGGCCATGCTAGACATTCGCAAACACGACCAGGTTGTGCTTAGGAGGAATAGTATGAAAAAGAATGTAAGTTTCTCTAAACACCCAGACAAATTTAAGGTAAAAATCACCAATCAACTCTTTTCTACAAAAAAGAAAATATTTATTTCGGAGTAATGTTATATGAATATGATTTTAAATCATTAAAGTTATTGATATGGGAAACATTCAATAAAATAAAGCATTTAGCAGAAATCTATACTATAACCATAAATTTGAGAAATGATTTCTCATGATTTATCGATACAGGGTAAGTAATATATATTTTTTTCCTATCTTAGATGTCTGTAGATCAGCGTATGGCTTTTGATGAGATACCTGGAGTGATAAAAGTTGGCTATAAACCAATCGATGACCACTGTTCTGAATCCACTCTTAGTGGTCCAGTTTCCAAGATGGTGAATCAGTTCAGAAGAGAAAAACTTAAGGAGTATTTCGAAGTCATTAAAATGTTTGAAGACATTGGCTTGCCTTTAACACAAAAAACTTTGGACAGAGGTTATTAATATTAGCAACAACAATAATAATACTAATACACTGCTCAAATTATCAACAAAAATGCAAAGTATGAATTACTTGTGTTAGGTTATGAGTTTTGAGGGAGAAAAATAAAATGATAAGTATATCAGTATCAGCCCTATATTTTCATTGCTGTATCTATCACCTTTAAAAAATATGAATGAATATAACTTTTTTTGTTTAAAGCAAAATATTGCATAGTGTGTATGAAAGAATTAAAATATTTTTTTAAAGTTAGAATATCCCAAGACTAATAAGGATTATGAGCAACATTAAATCCATATGTAATTTATGAAAACTTAAATATTTTTTTAAATCTTTACAGTCCTACTTTATCCTGGGGACCATCCTACAAATGCAATCAAAAACAGACTCAGCATTCCTTCAGGGCCTCTTAGAAACGAGTGGAGTCCAATCAAAAAGAACAAAACGAAGAAGATTATCAAAAAGAATGACAGGGAAAAGCAACACAGCCCTGCTTCAGACATGGTCAATCCATCGCTTACTGCACCTGTCACTAGTAGTGTTGAAAGAAGTAGAGGACCTGGTGTGGGCCAAGATGCCATTGAAAGCAAAGATGAGGATGAGGATGTGGGGCACAGTAAAAGGTCAAGGTCAAAACACACATATGTTACTGTGGAACAGGTCTACCCCATGGCTTCAAAAGTGAAGCCCAAAGTCACAGAAGAGGATCTCAGTTCAGGTGTTGCTCTAATCAAGCGGAAAGTGGACAACTGGATGACATTTGAAGAGTACAGCAAATATACCAGGTACATTGAACTTCAATAAGTTTAATGTTACATGAAGGATCAATAAATCTTATCTCATAGACTTGCTGAATGATTATCTTTGCAGCTTTGCTTATGTCAACTGACATATTTCTAAAAGTGCTCGTAATTAAAAAATTATGACAACTAAAACTAGTTGACTGTTAGCAAGTAAATCAAATGTTGGTTTTGTTAAATAATGAGTCAGGTTCTAACCAAGCAGTTGCTCTCTCTCTTGTGAGTGTTCTTAGACTTGGATGAAAAACTTTCAAATATATGAACATTGAAAGCTTTTTCTTATGCACATTCAAAACTTTAAACATAGAAGCTACCGGGTATTATTATTACATTTTAGTTAAAAATATTGACAAAATTTGACTTTTTAAACTAAGAATAAATGTGATTCGTCAATATTATTATTGTGTATTCAATTAAAAATGAAATTTACTTATCACCTTGCAGAAATTTACAAAAAAAATTCCAGCACATCAACCATAAGAGCAATCCCAATGCCATTTGGTCTGGTCATCTCCTGGATAAAATACGACTCTGCATGGACTACCACCCTCAAGGACATGGCCCTGGGTCTTCCCTCATTAACAGGGAGTCATGTGGTTATGAAGGAATAGGTGAAGGTCTATACAATGGTAGAGGCAATGCAGTGTTTTATGAAACCACCAAGACGAAAAGAGTGTATCCGGGTTACAACAACGACCTCCTGACTTGGCCAGTTGGTGAAAATGGAGTCAGATATGGAAGTATTGATGAACATAGAATCATTAAGTGAACAATTTTTAAACTGATTTGTTAATGTAATGGAAATTAGATTAGAAGTGTAATTTCATCATACTAATAATACAAATGTAACAGAACCAATTTACATATAGTTGAGTTTAAATCACTGTTGGGTGTGGAAAGACGAACAAAGTAACTGATATGAAGAGTTTATTGTAATTTGCATAAGAGAACACAGTACAGGTACTGCTCATTCCTGCCAAAGACAATCAGGGACTGGAACAAGCTTCCAAAAGGAACGGTTAAGGTGACAACACTTGACACATTTGCGTCAATTGCCTCAGGCCTTCCAGCCCCCAGTTCCTGATACCCTCGCTGAGTAGCTCTTGCAACCAGTGAAATATCCTCTTCAATATCAGGCACAGAAACATCGCAAATTCCCTCTACATAAATAGGAGCCAGAACAATCAGTACATTGATCGTGGGCCCTTAAGGTATAGAAGAACATTTTTATTTTAATAATTGTTGGCCAAAAATATGATGAGCTGAATTAAAGGCAGATGCTGAATCCTTAAACTCCCAGAATGTTCTCTGCAGTTCATTCTAAAACTAATTGTTAACTCCCCTTACATCCCTTATAAATTTAATGGAAAAGTTAAGAAAGGAGCACAGTAGGCTGACTGGCCCAGGGAATTATTGATCAATTCCTATTAGTGGACAAATGTTATGTTGAAAGTTTGTTACATTATTACAATCCTGAAGCTCCCTCAAACATATCAAATCATTTTTAAAATACCATATTTAAATTAATAGTGGACATGCCTGTATTGTTGTTCATGTTAGTGTAATGACGATTCTTTATTACATCCCTTAAACATAAAGATGTTTTTCTTTCAATTTCAATTATAAATAAATAATTCATGTTATTTCTTCAGGGTTTAGATTTGTAATTTTTTTTTATGTGGTTAGTGGTTACAATTTCAGTTCTGGACGAGAAGGATAAAATAATGTACAAACTTTTATTCAGTCAACTCTAGCTTAACGGGAAATATTATAGGTATTATTGATTATTAACCCCATGTTAAGTTATTTATTGTCTTCAGTGGTATTGAGGTTGTATGACCAGGGTTTACCTAGTCCTCAAGTTGCTTCACTTGGCTGATGAGTCCATTCCACTTGACCATTCACCCCTACCTGGTGATGGGGACCTGGATGATAATCAAACCAGCAATCTATCGCTTAGGAGGGAAAACTTACCAACACTGCGCCTTGGGGGTGGCAATGAAATTTATTTTAAAAACTAATTTAAGCTTCATTTATTTAAGTAAGTTATAATCTAGAAATCTTAGTAAAAAAAAAGTGCTCAATCAAACTCAAGAAAGACAGAAAAAATAACAATATTGTTTATTGCAAGCATTTCAACTGTTCAAATCAAAAGATTTGAGATTCTACAGACAAGAAAACACGACAGTTCAAATAAAATCCACATCATCAATCTCTTCACCTATTGGTCAATACCGACATTTTTTTGTTTGTTTGCTTTAGCAAAGATGTGATTTTAAGTACTGAAAGTGCTTTATAATTACATTAAAAAAACTGTGAAAACTGTTTTAACTTATTCTTTCTTTTTTCTTTATTTAGACGTATTTACGATCAATTCTTTTCTTACCTGATGATAATGATATTCCAGAGTCATGTTCTCAAAATGAAACGATGTACCCGGTATCCATAATTCATTTTTATTTTTTTTAAAATAAATAAATAAATTGGGAGAAGTGCTTTTTTTCCAGTTGGTTCTAAAAAAGAATGATAGATCGATTGAAAGAGTCATGTTTTAACTACGGCTTCTTTGTTCTGATTGGACATGTAAAATAATTCTATCAACACAGCATTAAGTAAACACAATGGCAGGAGGGAATAAAGGGGAGATAAATCACACACCTTTGAAAGCCCAATACAGGAAACATCATAGTATAGATAAAGTTTACATAAATTATCACTTTTTTCCTCTCTTCTTAATTTTTGCTTTCTTTTTCTTCTCAGATGCTTTCAGGAGTGCCTTTTTGGTCATTTTTGGTCCAGTTGTGGCATTTCCACCTGTCTTTTTAATGGCGATATTTTCTTCCATAAGGTCTCCCAGCAGGCCTTGTTCAGCCAACATTGACAGAAAAGTGACAATAAATGTATCGTAGTTATGTGTCCTTCGACAGGCGTCAATCTGGAAACAATAATATTTCAGACTTTTTAAAACAAAAATTAAAAACGTTCACCCATTGGAATTTTAAAAAAAGCATTTGCAAGGAATCAATAATATCTTTTAAATTTGCCATTTGTTTACAAAGAAATCAAAAGACTTTTTCTTTTAATTGAAGAAAGTTAAAACTCTGGCCCTTACCTTGTATTTTTTGCGCTTTTCATTTTCTTCTTTCAAACTTGCCTCACAAATCTCAATTTCTTTATCTACATTCTTAAGGAGATCTACCAGATCCTAAAAGTCAAATAAAAATTTATTTTTATTTGTTACAATCATTGAAGAAAGAAAGCAGTTTAGTTAACAGCCTTATTTCCTAGTGTTTACGATTTATTTTAATTTTAAGTAAACTATTGTTGTTAGTAGATAATGTACAGTATTTTGTTTTTTCCCCAAACATGACGTAATGAAATGGATGATTGTATAATCTGTTGTAATTTCTGAAAATGTACACACAGGTATATTAAAACCTACCTTGGGTGTAAAAACATGACTTGATTTCCTCTTACGCTTAAGTGTATGCATGTCATCACAGTTTTCAGATTTAATGTCTACAAATAAATCACAAAGGTAATAGTTAAACTTGGTATCAACCATTATTTAATATTCATCAAAGCTGAAGCACTTGAGGTTTTAGCCGTATATCAATGACAAGTATCAAATTGACCTTTCGACTATTTAGAGGTTACTCACCTGCATACAAATAATACACAATTTTTAAACAATTATATGATAACAAATCTTTCCAATCTTATGAAGGAAATATAATCAACACAAACATATTTTAACAATTTTGCTGTAAAGATAACCCACCAGTAACACTGTGGCTTTCTAAGAACTGTGGACTGCTCTGACAGGAACTTGTACCCGGAGAACTAAAGCCACTGCCTATTTCTGAAGCAGTGTCAGTACTTTCATTGCTAGCAGCACAAGGTGAGGTGCTGAGTTTAGTTTCAATGCTCAGGGGCTTGGTTATGTCTGCTCGCATGCCACCCGTTGCTGTCACTGGGGTCACCTGCAGTGTGATTTTTGCTTCAGCTGTGGTGAGACCCTCTGTCTTGACTGTGATAGGCTTCAGTTCAGTTTTGACGGCTATCTTACATGCATGATCCATGTCCATTACTTCCTGTTTGATATGAGCCTCTCCTTCCCCACCACTGCTTTCAACGACACCAATGCTGCACTCCTGCCCGGGAGCATCAGAGCCACCAGCTTGTCCTGGTAAACTGTTTGTTGTTGATTTTTCAATTTTGGAAACATGAGTTTCTGAAGAATTGATTTTGGTTTCTAGCTGTGTCAACGGACTTAAATTGAATTTAACTGAAGATGTGGACGACCGTAGTTTCATTTGCTCATTAGAGTTTGTGGGACCGGATCCATTTGTTGTTGATTTGACTGCTTGATGCGTGGAATTATGAGGTGTTGCATTAGAAGATAATAAACTAGTAGTATTAACCGACCCTGTTTTTAATGTAGCTGTTGATTGTGAGCATAAAGATGAAAGCAATGCTGCGGCAGATGTTGGAGTTGCTGTTACCAAATTAGAAGTAGAATGTGAGGATGCTGCTGCTGGTGTCAAGTTAGTCAATGAGTTTGTGCTGGATGTTTCATTTGCTGTGATACCGCAAGTAGCAGCTGTTAATCCAGATGTCAATGCTGTTGACTTTTTTACCTCCATTCCTTGAGATTTAGCATCTGAATCTGACTGTTCACTATTTGCTGGAGAAACAACCTAAAAAAATCAAATGGAAACCTCTTATATGAAGTTATTTAAAATTGTTAGAATGTAAATCAATACTACATGGAAATTCTTTAAATATGAATGTTAAGTTTTTCAATTATAAAAATAAATCTAGTTAATTAGTTGGATGGTAGTACCACTGTATTAAACCTCACTATTATCATTCATTATTTCCAATCTCACATCAGATTGAAGTTAAAAATGGTTCATTTATTCACTATGCCAAATCTCAGAAATTTAAAAAAAACATGTTGAACACACAGGACTATTTGAACATAGACATGTGCTATTGACAGAAATTAAATAGATAAAATAAACTTTTTATAAACTTAATTTACCGAATTGTGAAATAAATAAATGATAATCATACTAATCCATTTGAGAAATAATGTCAATCCTCTTCTTCTGATCCAAAATTGTATTTATGTTATCTGCCAAATTAAAAATCCACTCATATGCTTCCGTGTGTCTTGATAAAAAGCAAGAAAATGCATTTTGCAAGCACTCATAGTGTAAATCTCTTTTCTCCCGTTACTCTGCCCTTTCTCAATCATATAGCTTAATCAAGAAAAGAGGAATTTCTCTCGGGTGATTTTTCTAAACTTAATTCAAAAAAGGATTTAATTGAAAGATAAATCAATCATTTAATGCAGTTAGTATAAGGCATGCAAAGGTTTCTCACCAAATTGTTTGAAAACCACAAAAGTATTGGTTTTAAAATAGTGCTATAAAATGGCATGCTGTTTCAAAGATGATTGAAATCAGTTAACAGTCACAGTTCATAACAGCTTAAACAAGGATGAACGGGGCTCAAGGGTTACAAAGGTTACCAACTGAGCAACATTAAATGTGATTAAAATATTCCCCATTTATTATACAATGGAACTTTGTTCAGCTAAAACATTAACCTGAAGACATAACCTAAGAGATAAAATGCATTTAACCGATTAAATTTTCCCCCCTCAATCCTGAATAACTCAATATGATTATCACTTTGAAAAAAAAATCAAAATTAAATGGTAGACTACATTTTAAACTTTGTACAGAAATGTTTACAGCAATAAGTTAAATTTTTAGTTTTCAACAAATTTTCTGCAAAATGTATTAGGAAATAGATGATAATAAATACAGAAAAAAAGCATCCTGTTATTTTTAGCAACTGATGAGAAAAAAAAAGTAGTGTAGCAGCATTTAGCAATGCTTTTAGCAAGCTGAAATATCTTCATTTAAAAACTATTTGCATCAAAGTTTTAATTAGATATAGATATCTCATTTTTAATAAAATTCACTAAGTGTAATATTGGTGTAACAAAATTTTTTTGTATGCATTTTAGTAAAAAAAAATTAAGAAATTACACACACAAAACATTTTAAAAAACCACTTCAAAAATGATTGTAGTTATGGGACTAGGATTATTCCACAAATACTACAAAATAAAATTATTTATCCATAAAACATAATTCCTACTTATGCATGAAAATAATCTCTAAAAGTCACTATAATTTTAACAAATTAAAAGCTGATACACATTTCTTTCCATTTAATTTTAAAACAGGATATGGACATTTGAGATATTCAACAATATCACAAGTAGGTTAACCCAACAGAATCCAACCAGAACCTAAAAAGCCTTTAACATATATACAAAAATATTAAGTATATCAAAATTAAAATACATCTTTAAAATATTTTATCTCAAATGTTCTGTTAAATTTTTCTGTTTATAAACGGTTAAGATGTAAAGTTCCGCGGAGCCAACATAACTATTGTGTTTATTCAATAAATAGATGAGATGTAATAATAAATTTAAACCTAAGCAATAATTCTGGCCTTAATTAAAACCCAAATAAGGTTAACCCACACAAACTCATAAAAAAATATTAATTTTTATATCTTCAAATAAATAAAGAAAGTTTCCTAGCTTAAACCTGGCCTTGTATTTTCTACCATGAAGTTATCCTCCCCAATCCTTGATAAATTAGACAAAACCAAAATGACACAAATTATTCACATAAATTATTCCCTCCACCTTAATAAAAATGTGTTAACTAGATGCTTAGATTTCAATTTTATGAATTATTTTAAAACTTTAATCATTAATCAATGGTTCATGATTTATTGTGCCATCAACCAAGTTGTCTCATCCTACTTTAAATTACTATTATTGGTTAAATGTTTATAACAAAATCTTGTTTGAAAAATGAAATGAGGTAAATCAAAAGTGCCAAAAAAATTGTGAGTTTATGATCTGTGAGTTTATGATCAGTCAAATAATCCCAAGACTTATCCTGATGTTAATCAACTTGCAAGATTTCATTAATTTAGTTGCATTTTTGTGTGGAACTAAACAATGAAACAAAAATGTGCTAAATGGTGTTAACATATAAGCACAAAATAGCCAAGTAAAGCAAAAATGCATCTAAATATGCTTTACTAAAAAAATATATAAAGCAAAGAAAATATAAAAACGTTAAAATATCTTTAAAAGCTATGAAATATAAAGGCTCAATTTTAAAAATTATAATCAAAGGGTAAATTGTTCATGTTCTTCTGGAGCTTTTGCTAATTTACCTTAGCATCCAGCAGCTAAATATGTGATGTTGGAAGGGAGAAAAATCACAAATGAGCTTTTTAATTCATTAGAAATTTGAGATCAGAATCATACCAGTCATTTCTTATCTAAGATATGACTGCTTGTGAATATAATGAGAAAAAGCTTAGAATTTTTAATCAGAGAAATAATATACATGTCAATTATAACTAACATCACAAGTATAAACAGCTTGACCATTTCAAAGAGGTACTAAGACCTACTCTTAATCCAAGCTAAATCCTCCCTTCGCAGTTTATGTTTAATTAGGCAACAGTTTTTTTTCAATGACATATTGTTATGATGATTGTTTTAATAACATGATTAAAAGATGCTGGTGAAATTTAATTATGGCTGAGGACATTTCTATATACCAAATAAAAATAAAAAAAAATTTTAATTATTAAAAAAAACATGATGAAACACACCTGTTGTAATGCCTCCAATACAATTTTGCGGTTTGTTTTTAGTGTCATCAGTTTGTGTTCCAGGAGTTGACGCTTATCAGGAACAACAGCCATGAGGTTAAAACGAATGTCATGGTAGGGCTCACTGAAATATTGGTTTGGATTAAAGACAACAAAAGTTATCTACAATTTAATTAGTCAAGGGAGAAATTCAAAAAAAATAAAATATTAACGTCTTTCTTTATGAACATCTACATAAAAATAAAAACTAGTGTTGTTAGACTAGTTTAAATTGACTTCAACAAGTAATGTATTCAATTTGATTATTTACATAACTAATTCAGAACCTCCTACTTCCCCAATAATGCCCAATCGCTAATGTAAATACATGACTAACCCGCCAGTTGCCATTCCGAGTCTATCTGTTATTACGCGACGGAACTTTTCTGTCCAGTCTTCACCCTTCTCCCATGGGCCTGAAATACAACAGGTTTAAAATGAAATTTTATATATAAGACCAAAAACCTGGCACTCTATGAATAAAATTATCTGCTGTTTCAGGCATAATATAAATTAATTAACATTAAAATCAACTACCATGATCTATTGGGTGGGGTTTCAAGCCATCTAACTCAAAGAGGTGTCCATTAATTGGGACATAGCTGACAAAATGAAAAGTTTCAGAGTCCATGGCTCTGACACTGGAGAGCCCTGATTGTTTTTCTGGCATTGGTTTACTGTTTTCTGGTCTGGAAATAATTGTTTAAAATTGAGTTACAAAAAAATAGAATTTAAGGCAGATTAAAATTCATTTAGTATTTTTTATGCACAGGATGAAAGCCAAAATATTTGTTATTTAGAAGTCTTTCATTGCAATTTTATAATAATTGTTAAAATTTATTTGTAACATATAGTAAATCATAATTTAAATGTAAATATTAAAATATTAACAAAACATTTATAACATCATGTCAAAGTAATCAGTAGTTCTTTTAAACACAATTAAAACTATTTGATATTTGTCAAGAAAATACTGAACGAACATTTTAAAAGTTAACCCACCTTGCAAAACTATTGTGTACTCTTGCAAGTTCAGGCATATTTGCAATTGCATAACCCTTATCCTAAAAGAAACAGTAAGGCAATTTTCTTTTAAAGCAATATCATCAAACCAAGAAGATATAAGGACATAATCAAAAATGCGTTAAGCAATGAATATGTTCTCAACATTTCACTTCGTCAATAATTTTTACAAGAAATGCACTCCAAAGATAATGTCACAAAGATTCACCGTAAAATCTTCAAGTCTAAAATGCACAACCTTCTCATATATGTGGAGATCACAATAATGGGATGAGTCATAGCATGTGTACAATATCAAAATGTATACATCCCAACAAAATAAGCTAATACTGTGGTACAAACCTCTGGTGACATTGAGTCTGTAAAATCTTTTATGAGATTTAGTGTCTTTCCCAGTTTTAATTTATTGTCACAGTTCAGGAGTACACTAAGCAAGGCATGAGTAGCACACGAGTTTGGAATTATCTGTTGAAGTTGGAGTATTTCAATTAGTATTTGTTATTTCAGTGTTTGCGTCTTTACCTTTAGGCTGATTTAAGATTTCGTTCTTTACTTTTAAAGAGAGAATATATTAATATATAAAATGTTTAAACTAGTTAATTGTATATCTTATTTTTATTTAAATTATTGACATTTATTGTATCTTTTCCCACCTCTATTATGAAATAGATCAAAGCTGTGTTTCCCTAAGAAAAGAAAAACATAAAATTTTATATACCCTATAATTCATAATTTAATAATAATTTAAATGATTAATCCTTAAAAAATAAGTACCTGCTGAGCAAAAAATATATTGTTAACTGCGTCAGGGTCAGTTACAAAGGATTCAACTTCAGTATTGGTTTTTCTACGACTTCGTCTTTCCTCAATCCAGCGGAATAAGAAGATGAAACCATAAACAGGTCTAAAAAACGACACAAATAAATAGAGAAATTAACTCGCTCATCAAATTTATATTTCGTTTAACTAACACTAGTTGTTTAAAATAATCTCCTTTTTTGTATGTAAAATCAAACTGTTCCTTCTTATTGTCCTTAAGTAATAAAGACATTTATGGCAAATGATTTTCATGAATGAGTAATTATTTTACCCTTCAATTGGCTTTTGTAAGTCATAGATCTCTTCCACTTGGACTCCATTTACACCTTTGGATTTCAAGAAAGAAAAGAGGAGTAAGAATCTTGGGCTAGAGTTACCAGTACAAATGTGCAAAACATTGGTGTCTGTGTGTGGGAGGGATTGAACTGTTAGAATGACTCTTATGAGATTTATGCTGAAATAAGAGAGAACCCCCCAAAAAACCTAGGGATTCAAAATAAATGGGTGGCTTAAAGATTTTTGACACTTCGTATATAGTTAGGGTCTGACTTTTTTTCTGCATTACAACAAAGTGTGAATAATTTTTAAAGAATGGAAAATATATTAAAATGAATGAACGAACATTATTAAATTGCTTAATTTAAGCAAAATCTTAATTCTTAACTACTTAGTTTTTCAGAGTATAAAATATTTTTACATACCAAAGTCTTCCAGAAGCAATGTAAACAATCCTGAAATATACCAATATTTATTTATCAAGTATTTAAAAATGTAAGATAGAGATAATAATTCATTATCATAATAATAACTATGTTTCCTGGTCTGCTAATTTCAACACTTTAGGCCAGTAAGTCTTGCTACTTATATTTTAATATAATTATTTCTTTTATTTAACTTCAAAGGCTTTTTGTATGAAATAATTGCTATACATCGACAATATTTAAAAAAAATTAGGAAACAGAAAAATAGTTACGGTACACTTCTATAATAACATAAAAAGGAAGAAACACAAAACTTGAAAAATATTCACAATTTTTTGTTGTGGCCATTAAAAAAAAACTAACAGTGGGATAGGTTCAGGATTAGGATTAAAAAATTAATTTCATGCCTTCAAATAACTTTTACTAACAATTTAAATATTAGAATTGATTTTATTTTTAACTATTGGATATATACATATAGTGGATATATTTAATTAAAATACAATAAACATAGTATTTTTTTGTTTTTGCCTAAATATATAAATAATTTTTAAATATTTTAATAATTATTCTTTACAGGATTTTTTAAAGCTGACCTCAAGTCATGCAAATTAAACAGTCTTCACTGTATGTCCAACTTCTGTTGTTTATAGTGCTATACAGTATTCACTAAAATATGCAGTACTGTTAAGAAATTTCACTCATCTGGAAGTGTACTGTGTCCAAGGAAAGGGAAGTCTGATCGACCAGGAAGTGTTTTGATAAATGAGTATCACGCACATGTTCTCCAGCAGGAGCTGCAATTGCCCCTACAAAGACTACAATGAAAATCCTTAAAGCTAAAAATTATCAATACATCCATTCACCGGTTATGCATTTTCATAATTAGGGATGGGAAAATGATTGACAGAACCAGATATGCAAGCTAGGATGATGTTTTGTGGAGCATTTATGGCCATGGTGTACAAGGATCCGGATTTTTTTAAGAATATGTGGTTCTCTGACAAAAGTCACATTTACTTACATGTCGATCAGACTTCGCCTTTCATTGACAGAAATCTACTAAGTTGAATATTTAGAAATAAGAATATATTAAAATCTATTGTCACATTTAAGTTTGGAAATTGGCAAAACTATTTGCCATATAAAGGACATTGTGCTGGGTAGCTGAGTGGTCTAAATTGAGCAAATCTCAAGTTGGTGGTCTGGAGATCAATTCCTGCCAAAGCAGTCAAGCAAAAACATCACCAGCACCCCAGGTAGATGGGACTCGTTAAACATGGATGGCAACTCATCTAAGAGAAGGAAACTCTGAAATCAAACCCGGAGATGGAGTCTCGAAAGGCGGATAACATTGGTGCAATGAAACATTCTGACAACTCCTGCGACGTCACTGGTGCCAAGCTGTATCATCCAATGATGTTCCCTTCGGTTATCCAGTGGCGTGGAGAGAGACTCGATTTGTTGTTGGGAACCAGCTTATAATCCTTGATGAAATAATCCCAGGCCTTGTGGATTTCAGCCTCTGAAGCCCACACCATCGTCACATGTGACGGACGGATGCCAACAACAAAGCCTCTGTATGTAATGTATCATTGAATGTATGTATTTACAAACGTTATTTGATAACATGAAAACCAAACAACGGATCACAACCAAATTTGACATCATCTAAAGATGGATCCTGGAAATCAATTAACAACAAAACCTGTTCAAAAACTAAATTTTCGCATGTGTAAAAACTATGATAATCACAGCTCACAAATCATTCATATTTCCCTGTCCATTCACCGCTGGATTTACCACCCACCCCACCAATCATATTTCATGGTTTATTCAACAAATTATATTCCACACTATCTGTGGTTACAAATGGCAGTGTCACTATGTATGTATTTACTGGTGTTTAAGTGAAAGCTTTAATTTTTACAATAATATTATGTATTACCAACCGAGTAAAACCAGGTAACATCAGCTTGTATTAATATTTTAATATAAGCTGGAATGTCAAGTCATGCATGAAATGTGACCAAAGTCCTTTATGACTATACTAACTAACTTACGTAAGAAAATCAGCAAACTATCAAGCCTGAGCTCATAAAGTCTTCCCCAGTGCCCTACCCTGCCAACTCAACCGGCCTTCAACAACTCCCCAAGTGGTCTTTATTCCAGTCGGGCCTCGAAGCGGAGGCATTCCACCCCTGAGACAGCCACACCCACCCTTCCACTCAATGGACTATGCGAGTGAGGCGGCACCAGAGAAGGAACACCTGGCCGGCCGGGGTGCTGCTCGCACAGCAACCGGGCAGGACTTTCTTGGGGCTGGGGTGGATATATTTTACGTCTCTAAGTCCCCCCTTCCCACCCCGGGGGGACATGACTATACTATATATAGATACTTGGATAAATCATTTTTCTGCTAGAAAAAATTCATTGCAGAGTTATGAGCCCCTTGTTGCCTTTATCAACCTTTTATCCACTTGAAAATACAAAATACATTGCATATGTGTTGGGAAAAAAATTTGGTAATTTCTTTGTTAAATATTTTGTGTGATATATTATTTTAAAGAGAATTGGATGCTGAAAAATACTGTGTCTTCCAGTTTTTTTTGTGTGAAAAATATATCCAGTTGAATTAAGCCAAGTCTACTATTTAATTTCTCATAAATTCTCCACCAGGCACGATTTTTATGAAGATTACTGTTTATACAATTATCTACAATATTTGGCAAATACATTTCTCTCCCACCCTACCCCAACAAATTTATTAAAGTTTCACAACAGTTACCACTTGGGCCTGAACATCTTGGGTATACTCATACTGAATACTGACTACATTTCCTACCTGGATACCATTGTTTGTTTATTTAAGTTTAAGTATTTAAAGCTTGAAAATAAGAAATAGCATTGGACCAAGGAGTAGCAGCTCTCTCAAAAATTCTCTGCCCAGTTTTTATTTTAGTCACATATAAAATCTCCTATATTTATAATCTATACTATATATGTCTCACTTAACTAATTGAAGTAGCCTTCATGATTCATCTATATAAATTTTATTAGTTTGGAAATCAAAATCAGCTAAAACATGTATCTTACTTACATAATTAAAGCCCACATTGGTCATAGTTTACAATTTACTCAGCATTAGTATAACTTGAGTATAAGAAAAATACAGTTTCAAACTGTTGACACTGATTCATTGTTGATAATTTTAAAAAAAAGTTTGTTGCCGTAATTTTCGCCCGAAAAAGTTATGTTTGGAAAAGCGTTTTTGTTTTACCTGGGTCGCTTTCTAGCTCCAGCCAGCCTTTATTCATATTTTTTGCTTGTTGCAACTGGTAAGATGCTATAAAAAATAAATTAGTTGGCCTGTGATTGTGAATCAAGGAAATAAATTGGACGTCATTGTATTAACATCATTTCAACAGGCTATCGATATTTCTGCCAACAAACATTTACTGCAACAAAGCTTACTCGGTTCCACTAATTACCGAGCGATTTTATTATGTTTAGAAAATTTCTAATTCATTCAACCGAGAGCGAACGAGTTAAAAAATATATAAATTATATTAGCACCACCCCATTCCCTAAGCTCTCCAACTCATCACACAAAATAAGCTTAATAAATTATTATGGTATCTTGAATCACTCTTAAGTATAAAAGTAAATGCTCATAAAAGACTATTGCTTTATAAGGAAATTAGCAAAACAGAATATGTGAAAACCTGAAAAAAAGGATGCAAGATAACAACGAACATGTGGACAAGAAGCCTTCTTCAGCGAACAAACAACAGTAAAAACAATATAAAATAAAAATTAACACTTAGCTGCAATGTAGTATCTGAGAGGACAGCAAGAGGAATGTGACAGGGCAAAAATATGTGCAAATAGCAATTTAACTGAAATAATTGAGAACAAGAAGTACTTTTAATTTTAAAAATTTTTTATTCCATATTTACTGATAATTAAAAAGGTTTTGATGACAGGAAGAAAAAGTGAAACACAAGAAGGTAAACTTCCATATTAGGATTAGGCGCAAAAATTGTATTTTTAACTGCAAAAGACAATAAAAATAAAATTAAGTTGTTTTTTTACCTAATGATTAAAGTTTTAAAATTAATAAAATACTCCTATTGGTCATTTATAGAAAAAATATATTTAAAAAAATCTCTTGCACTATAGGATAGGAGTGGAATTACCAAATACCGTTTGTTTTTTTTAACTATGCGATAAAAATGCAAACTAAACATATTAATTACACTAGATACAAAATTAGCATAAGTTATGTCACAAAAATAAAATTGAATATAACTAGAGGTTTATAATTAAACAAATTGAATTCTGATTAGAAAGGCATCTTTTAGAATCACAGAAGGTTAGAGATTTGTAGAATTCCATATGTAAGAGGCTTCTAAAATAAGTTTGTAATTACAGCTTTATTCAGAAAATAAGATATTGTTATCTCCTTAATAATTGTTAAAATAATGCTCTGTTGAAGATGTAATCATTTAATAAACTTTAAAAATGATTTTTAAATATATATATATAGATATATATAGAGCCTATATATTTTTTTGTGAATGGATGGGAAAATGTGTCAATTTCTGATAGACAAATGAAATGACACCAATCTAACACTAACACTAAAATTAGACTCAATAATCTAATAACAAATATTTATCAGATTCAAAATTTCAGTCAGATAACATTTCTTAACAGCTATATGTAATTTTCAAGAATGTTTTTAATATTGTAAACACTGACCTGAATATCAAGTTTCATACTACCATTTAAAAAACATTCAAATCTTTTACCCAAGAAATGTTAATAATCTGATTAGGTATAGATTATAAAATTGAGAGAAATGGCTGAAATTTTGAAAACAATAATTTACTCGTACAGATACTCTAATATTTACTTAGATAAAATTATTTACCACTTTAGACAAGTGACCATTTAAAAGTAATATGTAGCTGAAATATCAATTTATAGATAATCTATGTGATAAGTGGCTGGGAGCAGACCAGTAGACTTACAGTCAAAAGCAATTTAGATCCCATTTGAGATAAAGGCAATTTTAAATTTTATAAGGAAAAAAATGACCACACTCTTAAAATTTATATTAAGAAAGTAGTGAGATTGAAATTTATTACAGACCCTACAAAAAGGTAATCTGTTAGTTTTACAGCTTTTTCAATTTATATGAAAAATGTAAAAAACACTTATGTGTAAAGGAAGCTTGAAAAGAAATCTGAGTTCAATAAGACCATTTATTTTTTAAATTCTGACCTAAGGAAATATGCATAATAGGATAAGGATGATCTACATCAAAACATGAGACATATATTTTAATCTATACAGACCGGAGATATTAATAAAGATTTTAATAACATTTTCAGGAGATACCAACTTAATTACATTTTGTTAAATCTCATCTCATTAACAAAGGCAGTAAATAGAATCCAAAATAGAGAAGGTCCTCATTTTTTAGCTGTTCATTTTACGGCGAATTCGAAGTTACAGCGGACATTACTGGGCACACAAAATTTCAAAAATGTATTAAAAATACTAGTTTCTGTCCGCACGCCACGAGTAAGTACTATTTTGACATTAGAAGTTAGAAGCTAGCTCGCGGAATAGCACACAACGTCCAGAATCCCAATCAACTTTAATCACGTGACTGTCAGTTAGCGACCAGACTTCATTGTCATACATAACCCATTATTATTTGTGTTAATACAATTTCAATTGGATTTTTTAACAATCGCTTCATAGAATGTTTCATCTGATGTTTTAATATCTTAATTTGATGTATGTACATGCATATATATGCATTTTGCTTCATATATAGATATATACATGTATATATATATATTTTACCCGTTGGCATGGTGCTTAGCACATTACTTCGAACTTCAAGTTACATTGCCGTTGAATAACGGAACCTTGCCGTAAATTGAGGATCTCCTGTATAGTATTTTTGAAAGAAAACTATAGATTACTTTTGTTACATTTAAAAACGCTATCCACAAAGAGAAAACCATTTGTCAGCTTTTTCACCAAGCAGAGGTATTGAAAGTAGTGTTCTCACAAGCAAAGGATAGGCTAATAAAATTTGTGTATTTCCTGATGACAAGTCAAAATTATTTGGTTGTTTTATCTTGTACAGTTCAAACAGCTCCTTACAAGTTACAAGCTATCAGGTTATGCAAGCAAGTTTTGTGTATGTGCGATGAAAATTGAAAACTTTGTCTTCTTTGATGAGCCATACAAGTGTTAATTTTATCAAACAATATGATAGATTGCCATTTTATTTATCTCATCAAATTTTTCATCTTGTTAATAAACATAGTTTAATCTTCAGTTGTTTTTGAGAGAACCTCATACAATTGATTTTTTGACAACTAATAATAAGCCATATTTTAGGCAGTAGATTTAGAATGATTTTTATCCCCTTGTGCTTGAGGAGCTTTTGTCTTATGATCCATAATTAGAATATTTGACTATGAGTCATAATATGTACAAATTTCACCAGCTGATTAATGTCCCTAGTTAACAACAAAATACTCTACTTGTTACATCATTAGTATCACCAATGAAAGTGGAATGCAACCTGCATGAGTTTATTCTCATGAAAATTACCAGATCTAATACCTTATTATCCCTCATCTGGCATCATTAATAAAGACAAGCGGACTGAACATATACAAACAATTCATGCTATAGTTTCGGTTTAAGTAAACACATCTGAAAAGCTTTTTGATATTTGTGTAATGTCAAATATGACTGTTTTAATTTTCCATTGATTATTTGTCTTTTATTGCTTAAACTGAGCTTATCAAATCTAATTAAAACAATGAATTCTTAACCCTTGTCTTCCAATATTTTTACTACTCGTACATAAAATCAACCTACATTTACTTTTGCACTACCAGGAAAATAAAATCTTCTGATGAATAAACATGGTTATTTCTAATTAAAATTTAACATTTTGTGTTTATTTCAATAATGGTTTCCTTACTGAGGCTTCAGAATTAATGTATACATGCAGAATCAATTGCTAAAAGGACAACAATGCTCTTAAAGTTAAAGAAAAATTTCCCTAAAAGTTGTGACTAAAATCTAATTTAAAAATTTTAAATTACTCAGTATTTTTTTTTGTTCATAACATTTTTGGTATGTCTATGGTTATCAAAGTAAATGCTAAAATTATACAATCGATGGAGCAAGGTGTTTTGCTATTTTACTTGATAATACAGAACACAAATTGTAAGATTGTTTTACTGCAAAGAGAAAAAGAAACATGACCTATTTTTCAAACTGGGATGTGCCAAAGTCTATGCTGAAATTATCAACTTCCAAAACAATGTTTCATAAAATAGTTAATTTTAATTCACCTTAAGTGCTTTTAAGATAAACTCATTTAAGTATGCTACTGAAGTTAGCCTAAATTTCCAATCACACTTATGCTGGGAATAAAAATAAAAACCTTAAGATCCAAAGAAAAAAATCATAACATTTTTAAAAGACAAGTAGAAAAGACATCTTTCTCATGACATTTGATAAATACATAGAATAAAAGAGAAAAACAAATCACTTCTGTGCTCCATTTTTCAGCTTATCTGTTCCTTAGCTTTTCTTTTGGTATCATCCTTCCTATCTTCTTCATTCAAGCTGACCACTTTTTAGAATAATTGTACAGATTTAGCCAACATGCATCTTTGTAGATTAAGAACAATCCTCAATAAAGTTCAATAACTGTCAGTGCCATTATCATATGAACTGTGAAGAGATGGAGATAACATGAAATTTGAAATATATAATTGTTAAACAAGTCTGACATAGTACAAGACATATTCTGTAACAGTAATGAGCCATCATCACTTATAACTCAAATTATGATGAATAATATTTACTAAAAATCATACAGCTAAATATGCTGTTTGAATTATCTGTCATAACAAAACTACTTAACAGTTACTTTGTTTATAAAACTACAATGAGGCAGGCTAAAAATTGAGATGATTATTCCACAGAAGAAAATAATTTTTTAACACTTCATTTAGTTTCAAATTTGGGCATAGTAAAATCAGTTTTCTGAAATTTTTCATAATAGTTTCTAGTTCAAGTAAAATTAGCAGTTACATGATATATTTATAGTGTATTGATCTTCATTTCTTTAGTTTACGCTTTAAATCCTCTTACCTGTAATGACTATGCATTAAAAATTTTGAATCAAATCTAGGACTCCTTGCTTCAGGTGCTGCTGTGCTACACCTTTGCCCTTTTCTGCAATGACTCCTTTGAGAATCTCTGCATCCCAAGAAAAGTGCACAACTGCTGCTGGAGCAAGACCTAGTTCGGCTAAAGTGCTATCATTATCCTCCAATTTATTAGTGGTGCCAGAGGTTAGATGAAAAGGTATCCAATCGTTGGTAAGATTTTCTCTCACAAACTGGTAGATATTTTTCATTGGTTCTTGAGCTCGGAAAACACCCTGAAGTAAAATACCATCTGGAAATTTGACTCGGACAAGAGTATATCTGTATTTCCTCAGTTCCCTTTGCTCATCTCGTTCCCTCATGGCCTTGGTACGGAGCAGTCCAAGTTTTTCAGTGGCTTCTTCTCGCCTTAATTGCTCTTTCTTTAGATCTTCTGGGCTAATGCTGTAGAAATCATCAGGTATTTCAAAGGATGATGCAGACTGAGTTGGGTGAAAAACTTTAAGGTTCCTATCCAGCTCTGGACGTATTGGTTCAGCTTTTAGCAAGACATCCTTCATATTTTGTAAACGATCCACATCTTTTGCTAACTCTGAATCAAACACATAAAACAATGCTTCCCCTTCTTCAAATGGTAGGGACTTCAAGGAAAACCCAGCTGCAAGCAAGAATTCTTCTGTCCCTTTCATACAAGCAACTCTTTCCTGAAAGACCTTGTTGCTCTGACGAATCTTCCAAAATTTTTCTTCTGTTGGGTTATTAATGATGTTATCCAGATACTTAATAAGAGTTTCTATGCAGAGTGTGACCTTTTCTTTATTTTTATTTAATGTATGAATCATTAAGGCGGATGTCATCTCAGGTTCATCCTCATAATTATCCAAAAGGAATCTATGAATAGCTGATTCAATCTCTGCCTTAGGTAATACTTGAGGCCCAATATCAGGGCATTTAAAAAGCACAGTCTCTAGAACTGGTGCACAATCCTGGACCACCTCAACTGGCCCAGCCCTTGCTGCAGCTCCCTTCTGCTCAGCTTCCAAGAGTCTTTTCTTCTCAGCTTCCATTTCCCGTTTCATTCTGGCTCTCTGTATGACCATACTGTCAGCTGAGAAAACAATAATATTTACATGAAGTGAAATACCAAAATATTTTGAAGGAAAAAAGTGATAGAACCAAAATGGTGGTGAGAGTAGCATTGGAAATACAATAAAATTTAACAAGGCTTAACCGAGTGAAGTTTTTTACACCGTGTCTGGTATTTTGAGAAAATACCCAGAGGGTCCAAGAGTTACAAAAACAAAGAGTTAACTTCTTATTTTCTATAATATATGCCGACCTTTAAACAATAGGCCTACAGACAGTCCTACACCTTTCCTGTCGGCCTTGAAACAATAGTCCCACAGACAGTCCTACACCCTAACTTTCGGCCTTTAAACAATAGGCCTACAGACAGTCCTACACCCTACCTGCAGGCCTATAAACTATAGTCCTACAGACAGTCCTACATCATGCCCGTGCTCTTTATTGATTAATATAAGTCGCCTCACCCTTAAGAAATAAATCAACCTGAATACTGTTCAAATGTCATGCATTAAGAACGCTGTGTGACAGGTTTTTCTTTCACTCAGGACTATTAATATAAAACATGTGGAGTTGATGGAGGGCCAGTTGTGAAGAGAAACCAGAATCAAAATATATATTTTGTTAAATGTAATCAGCATATAATGCACAGCAGATAAAGACTTAAGATGCTAATATTTTCATTATTTAGATTGCATTTTGTTTTACTAACCATTTTTCATTTGCTGCTTTGCTTCCATTCTTGCTAGAGCTGCCTCGGCAGCTGCTTTTCTTGCTAGTTCCGTTTCTGCAGCTCGTTGAACTGGTGCTACATTCTTAGAAGATGTTGAACCTAATCCCTTTACTGAACTAGATGGTGGTGGGGATTCATCAAGTCGATGACCTTCTCCAGCCTTCTTGAATTTAATATTGAGTTTACGTTTTTCAAAAAATCTTTTGATGGCAGCCATTTTCTTGCTTTATGAATACTATTCTTTCTTTAGATGTTTCACTTGGTCTAAAAGTATAAAAACATATATAAAATTGACAGATTTTTTAAAGCATCACTGAGAATTATATAGGCCTATCATCTGTCTTAAAATTTTATTGTACGGAAGTTTCCAGGGGGAGTAAATTAAATGCTTGTACCTTATTTTATAAAAAAAAATGAAAGTTTGAAATAGAAATGCATTCGGGAAGCTTCCATCTTCGGAAGTTAAACCCAATTTACAAAATATTGCCTTGGTGTAATGAGCCAGACATCGTGCTGTGGCAAGCTGAGATTTCTGAATCTCTCCATTATTGTTATAGAACAATGGACAATTGATGACTTTGCATTACAGCAATGCAGACTGTGTATTCATTAGCAATCCATCGCCATTTAAAAAAAAATCCAAACCAATTGCAGTTGCAGAAATTGACTTAATGATACCGGTAATGATGAAACAATCAGATCTATTTTAAAGATCAAAATTAACAATGACTCTTGTTGATTGAGTTTTCAAACAAGTCCAGATTTTATCAAAGAGACTAAGATTGCAATTGCATGCTTTTAAAATTTAAAACATTCTCATTTTTTTTTTGGAGGGCTGGAGGGGAAGGGTGTAACTGTAGTTGTAGGCTGCTACTGTTTCTTTTTTTTGTTTTTTTTGTTCTTGATCCCACAGGGATAAGCTTAATACAATTAGTTGAATTACATTTAAGTAGATAGGGTAATGGAGGGCATTAAAAACACTTGTTTTCAAGAACTTTTTTTTTTCCTTTTGAATAAATATTATTAAATTCAAACTGTAAATGTTTTTAAGTAAAAGACCACACATATTTCTTTAAGTACACAAGTTTTAATGAGAAAAATTTAAAGCCACAAAGTGAAAAAAAGGTTAAAAAGTTAAAACTAATTATGACTTAAATTTAACAAAATGGGGGCAATAAGCTCCTGCCTGTTCAATGGAAATATTTTCACATAGGTTGTAGGCAATTCTTACAGGACCACTCCATGGCTTCATTATCAGCTTCTTTTGGGATTTCTGTGCATTTAACTTGGTACCAAATGAACAACACACCCATTCTTCTCCTCATCCTCCATGCACACCACACTTAAGGCACACAGTGTCGTCCTCATCACTGTCACTATCATCTCTATCTGGAAGATTTGTTCTTTTTCTCATGGTCTTTTTTCTTGGAGCTTTATCTTTTTTTGCTGCTTCTTCTCTTCTTTTCTTCAAAGGTGCATCAATAGCATCCTTGTTAAGGGGGTGTTTTTCTGATGGCGTCGCATGAAACCACTCACCAGTCCCTACTAGGTCGACCATCCACAAAAGGCATTTGAAGATCATTTTCCTTAAAAATTCTTTAATGTCTTTCACCTCCTCTTTACTGAAACCTCAGCCCCACTCAGGCAGTCTATTAGTTTTTCTTAATCAGGCATAAAAGCAGTTTGCCTCCTTTGATGAGAATTTACTGGTATTTCACCTTGACTCTCCTCAAAAGTACCTTTCTATCAACTTCGAAATGCTTGGATGCCTGGTTGGCAGACATCTGCTTACCCATGACAGAACTGTAGGCATCTGCCATTGTCTGGCTAGTTGCATAGGACTTCTTGCCTCCTTCCTCTTTCTTTTTTTTGGTCAGAACCATTATGCAAAATAAAGGGGGCAATAAGATTCATTATCAAAACTGTATTAAAAATTTTTTTTAACCTATTTCTACAAATAATAACTTTTGTTTTCAATTTAAACTATATCTGAGTAATGTGTTAATTGAATTAAAACATGGATTTTTATTAATCTGATCAATATTATTTAGTTTTTTTAAATCATCTTTTTAACATTTGGGCTGGGGGTATTAAGCCACTGCTAATTAAAATATTTCTTTTTAAAAACTAATTAAATAAATAAATAATCTGCAGAACCATATGTCTCTTACATATGCTTTCTATTCAAAATATTGAAAGGAACTTAGGCATTAAAAGTGAATTTTAGAGCTTTTTATAAACAATCGCTAAATCATTCATCCAACAGCCATTTTACTATGCGAAAATGGCCAGCTTCATTTGCTCTACAAATATCAGTATTTTAACTCATTCATTGAACACACATATAGTTAAAAACTTTTAAAAAGTACTTACTTAGTTTAGCTGTACTTGTATTTGTATGGAAACTAAAATATCTCAATGTAGAAAGAAAATTTCAAGTAAAAACAAACAAGCACTGGCTTAGCTGAAGTTTTACAAACAGTCTGAAGAAGGCTGACAACTAGAGGGTAAAAGCACTCATCTAAAAACGCAAATTAAAAATCAATCCCATAGGTTAGAAACCCAAGAATGGTTGTGAAAAATTCTCTGATTATCTGATTGGATCTGGTTAGTAACTTTCTATCAAGTAACGAAGTGGTTTTGCGCAGCCGACTGCGTATAACCCTGAGAGTTATACGCAGTCGGCAAGTCACGTGACGTCTATATTCTTCCTGTGTGGAGTATCAATTGATAAGGGTGCATCGTTATCGGTGTGACTGGGTGGTCGAATGGTACAAACTGACCAAACCCCAAGTTGATGGTCTTGAGTTCAATTCCAGCCAATGGAAAGCCATGAAACGTACTAGTTGCTATGTTTGTTCTCGAGAATGAAGCAAAAACAACTAGGCTTATTGTTTTACTTTTGTTTTGGCTAAAAAATGTTAAAACATGAGAAGAATTATTAACTTGACCAATGTAATGTTAATAATGTTATACTTATAATTATCAAATATATGTTTGTGTTGTTAACATATATTTTGTGTTGTTAACTAATTTTGTGGCAGATAAAATCATGTTTCTCTGGTACAGTAATAAATATAATCATGGGTGGAGAGTAGAAGTAAAAAAATCGCTGTAGGGGCAGGGGGTTCTGTAGAGGGGCACTGTAAGTAATACTTTCACAGTTATAGTTTTGCATGGATGCTGAAAACTGTTACATTTAGGTCAGCAAAAAAAAAATCATAAATGATATTATTTTTAAAAAAATAAATAGAATGTATTTCCTGAATTAGTCAGTAAAGCCAACCACATGGTGGTCATAGCAACATTAAAAACCGCAGAATACATAACTAGACTTAGACCATGGAAATGCCTTTAAAAAAATCTTAGACTTAGGATTAGACTCTAAGAAATGTAGACTTTGACTTATACTTATAATAATTATAATATATAAGATACAAGCAATAATACTAATAATAGTGCTAATACTAATACTATTACTGTCATTCAATATTAATTAAAATTAATTCAATTAAAATTGTACGTTAAACACATTCAAAGTTCTAGTTCAAAACAACCCGTCATGCAGCTAATTACGTATTATACTTTTTTTTTTTTAATTGCCAAACTAGCGATAATAAACCTTATTTGGCTAAATTCCTAGCCGACTGCGTATAACCCTGAGAGTTAAATGCAGTATAACGCTTCCCATCAAGTAAAGCTTAATTGGCTTAATACTAATACTTAATGCCCTTCTCCTCGCTTCTTACAATAATATCAAGCATTTTATTGTATGAACTGAGCAATTGGGGTTTAATACTCCATGGAGCCAATTAACCCACTTTACCCTAATCATTACCATACTCAAACCATTAATACAAAATTTACCAACTAAGTAAATAAGTGAGTTGAGTCTCTTGTCAACTAATGTCAACTTACCTTTAGAAGACAGCAGCTTTATGTTGTCTTCACCAAAAATTGTCCATGCCAGTTTAATCAAAATAAGATTGATAATAAACCATGAAAGAAGTGCTACAAGAACCTGGTAGTGGATGTCAGCATTTGACAATTGTTTGGTGATATCATAAACACGATTACAGCTGTCAAAAACAAAATCTGGAATGACAGGCACAACTGTTTCACTAATACTATAAATTACTCGTAATAAAAACGAGCGCACAATATTTTCTTCGGTCATAACAAGGACAGTGAGGCGTAGGTAAACAATACACCGAATACAGCACGGCTTTATTATTATTATAATTATAGGAAAACAATACTCGTTTAACTTAAATTTTGAATGAAACTCAGATACACAAGTACAGGTCGTAGTGAAAATCCCTGTTTGCCATAAATAGGATTGTTAAAACGTACCGTATAAAAAAAGCTTAGGTTGTTTTTTCAGCTCCATACATTATTTTGTTCTGCGTAATATTCGAATTTGGAAAGCGTTATGAAACTTGCCTTAAAATAAATATTTTGAATTCCAAAGGGAACATTGTCAAAGTATAATTTATTTTCAAATTTTCTGTAAAATCAGATACTCTATGTTTCAAATTTATTAAAATTAATTACCCCAATTATCACACTGTTGATTTTACGACTACCCCTTTTTTGGTTAAATGTCTAGATGTCACCGTACAGTGTAAACGATTTTCATTTAAGATTCCGCACACTATTTATCATTCACTGTAAACAAAAGACACCTGGACTGGCCTGAGATCCTTCCGATGCGATAATTTGAATATAGTGTCGTTGACTTGTCTTTGAACACTGAATGTAGCACTCTATCACTCCTGTCAGCAATATATTATTTTTCTTATAGTAAGTTATAGTTATGGCCTATGGGCTGTTTTTTTGCTTTGTTTGTGAGTTCATTTTGACAATAATAATTTAAAAACACACTCACTCCAATACAAATTCAAATAGAGAAACAGTCAGTAGTAGGTCCTACTGTAGGGTGACCAAATCATGAACTGGAAAAAACGGGACACACCCAAGGAGGGTTTGGGAGGATATCCGTTATCTAAAGAGGGTGCCTCCGCCGAAAACTCTTTATTGAAATATGCTCATTTACATTTTAACTATTTTTAAGACCTAGAAATCTTTTTAACTTACCTTCGCCTTCACTTTTGTTATTTAATCTAAACTCTGAGGCATATCATTAACGAAAACAATAATTTTGCAGTGAATACTTATTTATATATACATATTTTACAACACAAAAAATAAAATTTCTCTAGTCTAGGATTTAAATTGAAGATATTTGGCTGTTGTCCCAGCCATTGTTAAAACCTCCTTCTTATCTAATATAAAGTTGTCAAAACTAGAACAGTCCATTTCAAAATTGTAGAGAACCTGCAGTATTGCAGAAAGGGTCTCCACTCTCATCTTTTTTTCTTTCATATTACCAGTGCAGCCATCACATGAGCCCACATCACCACTGGCACTGGCTACACAGCTAGCCCAAATATTACTTGAAGCTATATTATAAATTAGGAAGTTTTAGTGATTTGAAAATGTCTTTGGTTTCAGAAACGGGACATTTAAACTAGAGGCCGACTGAAAGTGATTTTCTGATTTCGGCGAAGCCGAAAATAGGCCGAAAGTTTAAAAATGACTTTCGGCCAAAACCGAAAAAAGGCCGAAAGTTAAAAATGAATTTCGGCCGAAACCGAAGCCGAAACCGAAAATGAAATATTTAGATATTTTGAAATTCGTTCCCGCATACATTTTGCATACATCGAAAATGATGTGGGAAAGTATAAATATTTACATTCTTTTTATAAAAATGAGATAATTGTGAATATTAATAAATAAACATCTAATATAGGGGTCTCAAACTCGCGGCCCGCGAGCCATTTGTGACCCGCAAGACGATATTTTGCGGCCCGCTACATGACAGAAAAGTTTAGTGTAAATGCGCCGGCCCGTTTCCCCCATTCTCATAGCTATAGCGTGACTCTCCGCGACGGTGTCAGTCGAATCTCACCGACTAGTCTAATTCTGTTTTTTTTTTTTTTTTTTTTTGTAATGTTTCTATATATTTTTTAATGCAACAGTGAGTAGGTGGATGAAAGTGAATCCTAGTTCTTGAGAACCCTTAATGATTTTATTGTTATTTATAAAGGTTGAGCAGATTGTAACAGTTGTAGTCGCTTTTTTGTGGATTACTTGATGCGGCCCACTCTCATTCAGACACTACCTCCTGCGGCCCCCCCCCCCCCTGGTGATTTGAGTTTGAGACCCTTGATCTAATGAATACTTTGGATTTTACCATTTTAATATAAAAGTAATTTAAATTGCGTTACAATTTTTTTTAATTAGTATGTTAGGAGAAAATTTGGCAAAAATTGAGGTGGAGGGGGGGGGGGGAGGAAATTAATGCAAAGTATTATTTTTTTAAACCGGGTCTCTAAAAATTGTGGTTCTAAAATATCGCTTAATTTGTTTTTAAAGATCGTTTAGTTGGTTGTTATTGATCGCTTAATTTGTTGTTTAAGATCGTCCAGTTTTTGTTAATGATCGCTTTATTTTTTCTTAAAGATCGGTTAGTTTGTTCATAAAGATCGCCTGGTTTGTTGTTAAAGATCACTTAGTTTGTTGTTAAAGATCGCTTAGTTTTTCACAAAGATCGCTTAGTTTGTTCTTAAAGATAATTGATTTTGTTCCTTAAGATCGATTAGTTTGTTCTTAAAGATCTTTTAGTTTGTTCCTAAAGAACATTTAGTTTTCTGTTAAAGATCGCTTAGTTTATTCTTATAAATCATTTAGTTTCCTATTAAAGATCATTTGTTTTGATCTTAAAGATCATTTAGTTCGGTCTTAAAAATCGTTTAGTTTGTTCTTTAAGATCGTTTAGTTTGTTATTAAAGATCGCTTAGATAGTTCTTAAAGATCGCTTAGTTTGTTTTAAATATCGTTTAGTTTGTTCATAAATGTCGTTAAGTTTGTTTTTAAATATCATTTAGTTTGTCCTCAAAGATCGCTTAATTTGTTCTTAAATGTCGCTTATTTTGTTGTTAAATATCGCTTTCGCTGAGTAATAAATGACCGAAAACCTGAGTCGCTTTGTCAATTTCGGCCGAAACCGAAGAAAAACTGAAAGTTAACTTTTCTCTTTCGACCGAAACCGAAATTAAGCCGAAAGTTAACTTTTCAGTTTCGGCCGAAACCGAAACTTGGCCGAAAGTGATAAAATGGCCACTTTCGGCGCCGAAGCCGAAATTCGGTCGGCCTCTAATTTAGACGTCCCAAGAGACTTTTTCGGGACACTGTGTACAATCTTTAAAAAACAGGACGATCCCGTTTTTACAGGACGTTTGGTCACCCTCCCCTACTGTCGGTTCATAAAAATAATAGTCTTTGCCGCCAACAGTTTTGTTGGTGTTTTTTTTTATATTATACCATCATCTTGGTTGGCTCTTGGGCTGCTCTGATATAAAGTTCAATAATGAAACTAGGGCTGAGCCAGGTTTAGTTTTTTTTACACACCTTCCTAGTATTTGGATACTCTACCCAGCTAGTCCGTAGGTTACAAAAAAGTTATCTTCTCATTTTCTATAACCTGTTCCTGAGGAGAAGTAAAAAATGCATGAAGCTAAAAATTTAAGGGTTAAAAAAACTTTTTAAATTACTAGCTTAATAATAATTCTAACCCAGCAGTTCTCAGTCTGTTCTTGGAGTGGCCAGGTGGCTAGTCATTAGGGCAAAACAACTTGGGAAGCCGCTGCGCATCATCTCCCCTCTGTAAAAGTAGACGATTTCTGCTAATTGGGGGGGGGGGACGACGACACATAAATGCAAAAATATTTATATTACATTTGCTGCTGACTTCTAGTGAATGAATAGTCTTTAAAATATATTTTATGTAGCTTCATCTCCCCTCTGTAAAAGTAGACGATTTCTGCTAATTGGGGGGGGGGGGACGACGACACATAAATGCAAAAATATTTATATTACATTTGCTGCTGACTTCTAGTGAATGAATAGTCTTTAAAATATATTTTATGTAGCTGTAGTGTAGTAACAATAAGAAACTAGTCCGTTCACTGTAAATAATATTTTAATTTTAAAATGAAAAATTACATTTTAAAAAATGCACATGTTACACAAAACCCCCCTAAAATTTCTGAAATTCTCAAGCAACCCTTGACATTTTGTCAGTCAACCAAAAAACATGAACATTTTTGTTAATTGAGCAGAGCTTCACTATTAGTGTTGCTGAACTCTGGTTGGTAGCAGTTCTCATTTATCTGATACCAATGTGCGCATATTATTTTAATAAATATTTATATCATCATTATCATAGCGATAGGGGTGAGTCGGGAGAAATGGGCCACCAAATGAACATCAGTCAAAGAATGCAGCTGGTGAACAAATAGAAAGTTATAACCATAAAATTTGGCTTATTAATAGCCAGTCCAAATGTGCACTTAAAAATGTAATTTGCATTTTGATAAATTTGATAGTTTTTGTGAAATTCAAAAGAAACTGATGACTATGTAGGTTGGGAGAAATGGACATAGCGAAGAAAGAAATGGACCACCATATTGGGAGAAATGGTCAGCTAACTAAAAAGTGGTTAAAACAAATTAATATTTTACCTATTTTCTATTAGCTTTCTCTCTGTTGAGCTGTAATGCACCATACAATATATGTAATGTAAAAAAAGATAAGCAAAACCATTTTACATTTTATGTATATTTATTAAATATAACAATGTAGACAGAATGTAATTTGAGCAAAACAAAAACACAGATTTATTTAACATTTAAAGAACTCAGGTTTTCTTTAAAGAACAAAAAAACCTTTAGTCCTAGCTGTCCCAGTCTTTTGTAATTTTGTAAGTTTGCATTTTATGTCTTTAATATAGGCACACAGGCAATGACTTCTATGTGTGGTCTTATAGGGCCTACATTAATTTTGCCAGTCACTTTCTCACTTTTTCTTAAAAATTCTACTTTCTCATCTCCATTTTCATTCACTTTCTTCCTCACAATAGCAACATAAAACACCACAGACCTTTTTTACACTATACTCACACAGCACACAATCATCTTTCATAACTTCTTCAACACCACTCATTTCAGCACAATTTGTTGTCAAGTCTTCACAGTCTGAAATAAAGTCATCTAAATCATCATCACTTATCAGGTCAATGTACATGTCAGACTTACTATCGTCACTTTTCCAAATTGTGTAGCAGCTGTCCGCATCGACTTTTTCCCTTTAATGGCATCAACTGCATTTCTCATATCTTCCAAGGGTATTCTACCATTATCTGTTTTTCTTGCGTTGTTTCTGCAAGAAAAAAATATGGGAAACTTTAAATTCTCATCCCATTGGAAATTTATGTTTTTTAAAACAAAAGCTTAAAAAAATTCAGAAGATTTAATTTCTACAATACATAATCATAATCAATATAATCATACATGCATATATATTTAGCAAAATATTTTCTAAAATTATGTTTAGCTAAAATAAATCATGACTGATAATTCAAAATCTTTATTTAAAGTTAATTAACTAAAGTCATGCTCAATATATTAATACGTTTTAATTACTTCAAGATTATGCAGTAATGAAGTATAAAGAAAATAAACAGTGGGGAGAAAATAGATGTGTCAATTTCTCCCCATTTTTTGGCACGTTTCACCCCACTATGGGGTTGATGCAGAATTTAAATTTAAAAAAATAAGTTCGTGATGCAAATCAAATTTAATATGAAATACTATAACTAACTAAATATAATACATTAAACTATATTTACCTTTATTCTTGATGAACCAGTTAAATTTCTAGACGCTTTGATGAGGTTTGTTCAAAACATTTTTTTATGCCAAAATTTTACTCGTGATTCATTTGTTTCATAGCTGACCATATAATCTGGAAACTCTTAGAAAACACAAAAAAGAAGTAATTTATGCATTCATTTAGTTCCAAAACATTTTAGTTCAATAGATTCGATTTTATGGGGGGTGGTCCATTTCTCCCATCTGTCCATTACTCCCGGCTCTCCCCTACCTTCCTAGACTTCCTTAGTTTAGCCAATTGTTTCACTTATTAAATTAGTGTTTAATTACATTGCTATTATTAAATTCTATGACAAAACTTAAAAATTATCCACACACACAAACTTTGGCTACTCCGTATTATCAGCAAGTCAGAATGTAAAATAAAATATTAATTGTAAATAGGAAGTGCCATGGTCATAACCTAAGATATGTGTCTTACTAAGACAAATAATCACACAAAAATTGCAGCCAACAAATAATTATTTTCAGAGCTTTGCAATTTCATTTAGCTTGCATTTAGTTTCTCACAAATTGCTAGTCAGTTTTATATTATTATTTATTTAATTCACATAAAATCTATTGAAAAATTATGTAAAAAAGATGTACTCGTTCTATACATTCACTTTTCATTTCTCACCATTCACTTTTCATTTCTCACCATTGGGTGGAACACACTAAAGTAAATGAGAATATAACTTTTAAAAAAAAACACTCGGACCCGATTCTGTCTTTTTTGCTCGGTCTGGGTACCGGTATGTGCAAGGTGTGCTAATACTCGGCAAATCAGGGTCGGTACCCGGCTCAGCCCTAAATGAAACAATTTTACACTCAACCATCACACTGTTGTTTTCAAGTTTTCTTGCAGACTAAATCCAGATTCTCGTGAATACTCTGCTGCCATTCTCTTTAAGAAACCTGATATTCTTACTTTTGTAATTTCTCAGTCAGTTTTTAAACATGCTTGTTCAAATTATTAATGGTTTACGGTAATATTATTTCTCTTATGAGTAGTATGTGTCTGCCCAAAGGCATCTGACCTGTGCAGTCTTAGCACCCCTGCCTTACCTTGGTTACCAATTTCTCTTAGACTGGAGATGTGAGCTTAATAAACTTTTATTCATCTGTATTTGGGACTTTCTTTACCTTGGACTTTGTCTATTATTATCAGTATATTTGTCTATGAGTCTAAAGATAATATACTATACCGATATTTAGGGATAACATTTACATTTTGAATTTCAGCAGTTAACTCTAAAAAGATGTGTCAAGATTCAAATAAAAAAAATAAAAAAATTCAATAGAACTGTCTAAATATAGCAATACGTCTTTGCAAATCACTTCTATATGCCCTACTACAGTTCTGTAGGTTATAATCCACATTGCATTTATATACATCACCTCCCTCTGTTTCACTGTTTTATTTTTACTTTAAGAGAAAAAAAACCCTCATCCTAATTATTGAGTTTACACCATTTATTTAATAGTGCAACAAAGCCAGTGCGAACAATGAATTTAATAACATCCCTTGTTTGGTTCATCATATTTCTGTTTCAAGCTAATGGACATCACGGACATCGTCAACACGGTTTTAATTTGGCTGGTCGGCTAGCATCCAGTTATAACAATAGGAACAACCCAGAGCAAATACACATATCTTTAGGCTCTTTGCCTTATGATATTGTTATGATGTGGTCCACAAAGGAAGAGGAGACATTTTATGTTGAATATGGAAATGATCCAAAAACATTGACCAGAGCTAAAGGTGCCATCTCAGAACTAAAAATTGACAGTGAACAAGCTGCTAGATTTTTGCACCGGGCTGAATTGTTAGGTCTAAAACCAGGAGCTCGTTATTCTTATAGAATCATCAATGGTAATTCCACTGTGAAATCTGAGACATTAACATTTGAAGTTCCGCACAATGATTCGGCTAAATCGCATTCCTTTTTGATAGTGGCCGATATGGGAATGCTTACTAAAGCACTTCAATTTTTGATTCATGAAGCTGTTAATGGAGAATATGAAGTAGTGTTTCATGTGGGAGACATTGCATACAATTTAAACTCTGAAGGGGGAAGTTTAGGAGATCACTATATGAATAGGGTGGCTAAGTTTACATCACATGTTCCCTATATGACAACACCAGGAGATCATGAAAGATTTCGATCATTTTACCACTATCGTTACAGGTTTGACTTTTTCAATTTAATAGGCAATTAACAAATTGAACACATCGCCTTTTAGCAACATTACAATATTTCACTAATAGTTTTTATCAGTCTCCATTACAAATTTATAATATTACTAATAAATATTAGAATATTACTAATAAATTAATATTAGTGTTAAATTTTTAAAATTAAATATAGAGATTAGTGTACTGCTGAGTAATGGTGGTATTACTAGTGAGAAAATTAATTTGAAAGTTAATTGAAAAATGCAATTAAAATCAAAATAAAAAATACTTACACTTAGAGGGACTGTGTTCAGTTAATTTAATTTAATAATTAAAAGGTATCGTTCTAGGAAAATATACATATGTGCTCATTCATTGCACAGCTTAAATCTAGGAAAATTATTTTTATAAAGACTCTACAGCAAAAACATCCATTACACTGAAAAATACATTTAATACCCATTACCCGTAAAATTATAAGATATACCGGTAATAATTTTCATGTAAATATTTTATTTTTTGTTATGTTTTTGTCTTGAAGGTTTTCCATGCCTAATTCTCCTTGGCCAATGAAAGAAGAAAACCTTTGGTATAGCATTGATATTGGACATACACACTTTATAAGTATCAACACAGAATATTTTCTCCCAGAGTCTGAATACAAATCTCACCAGCTCCAGTGGCTTAGGCAAGATCTTAAAGCTGCTAATAAAAAGCGAAAAAGCAGCCCTTGGATAATTGTGATGGGCCATAAGCCAATTTACTGCACTAAATCTGTGATGGAACAAGAGTGCCACAAAGAAAATTCAGCCATAAGAGAAGAACTGGAAGATTTGTTTTTTGAGCAAGGTGTTGATCTTTACATCAGTGGGCACAAACATTCCTATGAAAGATCTTGGCCAATGTATTTAAGTAGAACTTTTCAAACCAACTACTTCAATCCCATGGCTCCTGTGTATATTATTAATGGGGCAATGGGATATGAGTATTTATTTGATGAACAAAAATCTTCACCATACTGGTTGGCCTTTTCTGTTAGCGACAAAAGAAAAGAGCTTTTTGCCAGGCTAAATGTCATTAATGAAACTCACCTGGTTTGGACTGTGCATGCTGCATCAACCAATGAAGAAGTGGATTATGTGCAAATCATTCAGAAAAATCATGGCTCTTTTGGAAAACCAGGAGTTGCTGCACTGGACAAAATTAAACCCCGCACCAACAGACAAGATCTCCCACCAGAGCCTTTCCATATTGTAGATGTTGAATCCCAGAGTTACCAATCAAGAAGGCTTATACTTTTTTCAGCTGTTTTTAGCTTATCTTTTATTTTATTCCTGTTTCTGCGTAGTCACAAAGTACGAAAAGTTTTACACTTATAAACGGTCTAATTCTCTTTGAAAAATTTAAATATTTTGCAAGACCAAAATTTAATAAACAGGCTAACGTAGGAGAAGCATACTATAGATTAGGATGCCTGCAAATCTCTTGAGGGTGGCCTGTGTCTCAGGCAAACATGACATGAAAATTTTTAATATGATAATTGATACTGATTCCTATCAACGTTTACCTTTTACATTTGCATTTGGCATAAATATTTGTATACTCTGTAAAATTAAGTAGTTTTAAAAATTATCTACAAGCTTTTATTTTCAGTCATTTCTGTCTAATTCTGGAATAGAGATCCCTTATGCCTGACCAAATTAATGGTTAGAAACTGTTGTGAAAGTAAAGGACATTACTGAGTCGTCATGTAACAAGATGTAGGCAATAAAAATGGATGAATGTGTGCACAATCTAAAATTTCAAATTACATTAAGGAATCAGACTATAGAACAATTGTAGGTTTTATTCATTTTATATTTTAATGTTCTCTATTCATAAATTAGAACAGAATCGAAGTCTACACAATGATGTTTCTTAGTATTATGCTGTCTGTTACTTGTATCTAATTGAGACATTATAGAATTTAACTTTGAGAACCACTGAGTTATTTACATACTCTTTAATAATGAGCAAAGAATATAATTTTTTTTTTTAATATTGTGTTGGTAATGTAAAAATGCCAACTTTTGTGTTTGATATTACACCTCACTAGAGAGTATGGAGCTAAAAGAATGCCTAGAAGTCAAGGGACATAGAGGGAGTTAGCAGTAGCTGAAGAAAGATGAGATAGAAACTAGATGGCATAAGCCCCTCTGCTGGCACTAAAGGAGGATGATTACTGCACATCAGGTCTCTCTAGATCCCCTTACATGACCCTTGTCATCATCTCATCCATCTCTCAGATATAATTTAAAAAATGTTTTAATATATTTATTTAGTTATGAATGACACTGTTGCATTATTTTGATAACTTAGTGTTTTATTTTTAAAGTGAAATGTGTCACATCAGAAGTGTTTATGAAGTGTTTATCTATGCAAGTGTGTTACATATTTAACACCAAGTTTCTTTAAAATATTTTTGGGGCTTTTTAACCAAATGATCTTCAGACATTCCATAATCATAATTTTAGTAGTAAAATAACTGGATTGTTTGCAAAGACATTTAAGTATTCTACTTATCCATAAATCGTTTTCATTGTTTATTTATCTGTAATTTTGTGAAATGGTTTTGAATTGCCTGTTTTCTGCAAAGTTCACAATGTATTAATTGTATATGCTTAAATTTATGTATGATTTTGATTAGTAAAATTTATTTTTTTTAAATTTTCCAACACTAACGCTGTGACAAAAGTATATTATAGGACCTTAAAAAAAATAATCTCTATATTAACAGTGTGAGCAATTCCATGAAAATTGTTGCTGTAAAGAATAAGTATAAGACCAGCAGTTCACGGGGAAACAACAGCCATTGTGATTAATATTCAAATAGTAGAAATTTTTCGTATTAAAATTGATTGTGTATAACAAAAGTTCAATATTACAAATGGATCTTAAAATTGTTGTAGTCTTTAAAAACTATTTAGAGTAACATAGTTAAATGTGGCAGACCAGCTAACCCTTTGATGGTTATAATGTATTTAACAAAAGGATGACCTATACAGATAATTTAACTGAATAAAATATTTTTTTTTAAAACTACTGTATATGCTCATTCGTAGGTCAACTTTTTTTTGGAAATATTTCAGGCCATAGGAGATTTATATCATTTTTTTAAGGGATATTGAGTATTATAGAATACAATTGAGAAGTAATTAACATGGGTCAACGTAAAGCCAAAAGCAAAATTTCGTATACATGGCACATAAGGCTGGCCTTTGTATCTCCTTATTACAATGCATTCCCATCTGCTCCACACAAGATCAGATTATCCTATTTTATAAGATCGTAGCAGAAGCTGAAATCTATCTTTAGAACTGTCATGGTTTTGTACCAGCTTCTGACCTTGATTTAATACGAGTATAATGAGATCTGCACTTACACACATCGGACTATAAAGAGAGTGGTCTCAGCCAGCAATAAAGGATTTAACTAAGTTGTTAGTTGATATTTATAGCAGAATATGAGCCTGTAGACTGATGGGCACTTTGAACGACTATATACAGAATGATAGAGATTAAAAGCACTGAGTTTTAGTTGTCATTTTTTTTAAACATCATCATGAAATTTTTCATTAGCCAAGTCTTTTTTTTTTGTTGTAAATATGTATAAACGAAATTTAATTGTATTTCTAATAAGTTTTAGCTGGTGTCTACTTACAACATTCGAATCTATGTTGTGACTAGCAATCAGTGTTTTTAGTTCTGGAAAGTTGCCTTTACTGGTGGAAGATTTTGCTTCCCTCAGTGAAGTGAAAGGAAAACATTTATATGATTTTAAGAAGACAATGAGAGATGATGCAATCCCATAAAATTTAATTTGATGCACGTTTATGTCCAGCTTATTATAGTTCAGTTACATTTTTTTTTAGATGCAAATTTTCTTTCACTCAGCACACAAGGCCAATTACTACTGATTGAACTGATTTACATATGCATAGAATTACTACCTTGTGTATTTGGTTGTGAAATTTTATAAACAACTACAGCTGATGATTTTAGTTAATTTTTTAAAATTTATTAATTAAAAAAAATTATCTTGTATTTCTGACTTTGCATTGTTTGTTAAGTTTTATAATGTGCATAAATTATTAAATGAACAGTTCTTCATACATTGTAATTTTCAATTATTGCTAATAATTATTTAAAATAAGTGAGTAGGTATGCAAAATTATCCCTTACCAAGCAATAAAATTATTCCAAGTTTCAGATTATATTTAACTTTGAACTTTTTAAAAAACCCAAAGAGATATTCATTAATGTAGATATAAAGGTAAGCATTTAGAAAATTCTAGAACTAAAGTAAAAGGGAATGCAAGTCCAAACATTAATCACAAGCCATACATGGCTAACAGTTAATTTCTATAATGGTAAAATAGTTAAAACACAAAAAGTTGTATACACTGAGCAAAATACACAACTTTATTGAGTCTTTTAAAATATCTGATGACTAACATGCCTTATTCTCTGTAATACAATAAATATTGCACTCCCAATAATGAAGCAGGACATGTGTATAAATTAAAAGTCATTTACAAACTGAACATTAAGTTAAGATTTCAAATATTTTTAGTATCATTCTAAATTTTTTTTTTACAAAACACTGTCATTATCAGGTTAAAGATCCGTTTGAACATACAAAAAATATTAAAATTAAAGTAATTTCTTTTCTTTCATTGAATCATTGGAAAATGAAACATTGTGTTTCATTGGCTAAGCAAATATAAACAAAGAATACAAATAGTATGTTCTGACATAATTTTAATCTAATTTTAATCATTTAAATATTTTATATTTGTTATGATGTTTTTTTAAGCTTACATATTCCAATGCCAGTATTTTTCTTTGGTAAAACAATAACTACAATAAGAAATACATATTTTATCTAAAAAAAATTAATTAAAAAAAAAATGCTTTGAAAAACTTGAAATGTAGTACCACACATAAGCCATTCAACTGACATTGTCTTAAGATTTGATACATTATTCACCAGGGAGATTGGTTTAAAATTTTAAAAATATGTAAATGACAGTAGCAACATAAAAATGTAAACATGGCAGATGCTTTAGTTTAGAATAGTAACCATTATTATAATGATCATCTTCTATTATTTTTTTTAATACTTTCAAGTAACCATCACCTTATATTCATGTTAACTTTCACTGCTCATCCAGTTACTAATATATAAATAGTTAATATTAAGTGGTCCACATGTATAAAAATTCAATTAATATAATTTGCAGGCTCCAGGGCACAAAATTTTAAAAAATCAATTATGGTAACTAGAATAAAATAAAATTTATAAAAGACTAAGTGATTAGAAGAAAACAATACTAGTAGGCTGATAAATTAATCTCAGGTGGTTATTTATAACTTTCTTATAATTTAACTAATAATAAATTGTCATGAATCATTCGTTTAAAGTTCAGAAAAATTGGGCATGTATTTGAATGAATACTTTCTTACCTGAACAGATCTTTCATTATTCATGAAAATAATATGAAACAACTTAATATGTTCAATTAAAACATTATATAAATAAAATGATTTTAAAACTTAGTAGTTTAAAACAAACTAGTTCCATACTAACATTAGATTAATCATAAATTATGTCATCTTGATATATTTGTACACTTGAGACAAACTTGAAAAATTCACTATAAGGTAAAATTTTCTAAAAAAAGATAGAAGTAAGGTCTTATAATATCAAAGCAATCATATTTTAGTATGTATTAAAAAAAGTTTTGGTGGTCCATTTTAAAACATTCAGTTGTAAAACAAAAGATATGGTCAATTTTTCATCTTTAAAGTCCAACGACTTACCAGTCAATCAGCATTTATGTGTTCATCTCATGTTAATTTCAGAAATGAACAAAATCTGACATTTTTAAGATATTGTTACAAAAGTTATGGTGGAAATATTCCTTTGAAAAAAAATCTAAGGTTTAAAATTTTAGTGAAATACCTATCTTATAATTTATAAAAATTATATGGGGTAGAAATCTAAATAATCATCATACTGATTGAACTTTTTTTTCTTCTAAAAGTATAAATTGTATTAAACTAATTAAAGCACTAATATTTAGCTGGTATGTTGTCCAATTTAAATAATGCTCTTCTCAGCAGTGTAAGTTGAAAGTTAGGAAAAAAATCAAAAACACTTCCAGTGATTTCCCTATGAACAGAAATGCTAGTCTATGTATGGCCTATGGCAGCAGTGGGCTGATGTGTCTGTCAGTAAACAGTAACATGCATGGGAGAATTAAAGAGTTATTCATGTAAAACATCTACGAGCATTTTCTAATCACTTTCACAATATTTCTTTTGTGACTGTTAACAAAAACATTTAAATCAAAACTAAACCTTAATTATTTTAGTCAGCAAAAACGTTATTTAAGAACACAACTAATTTTAAAGGGACATAAAGACAGCACTTGACTAATCCCTAAATCTACTTAAAATGAAGTTGATTACAAACTGTAAATTAAAGAGAACATTTAATATGATTGATAGCCTGAAATAAATTTGATTACATGTTCAACAGCCATAGCTTTAGTAACACAAAGCAATTGTAAAGAAGTAATTGGGTTCCGTTTCAACAGTCAATCGTGTGCACCCCAGATCTAAGACTAGAAAGAAGCAGCCCTAACAAAAGATAGTGTTTAAATTTAAATGGTAGGACCTCAGACATTGAACAGAGTGGATGGGGAAATATGACATTGAATAGGGTGGATGGGGAAATTGGACAATTATTAGGATGGTTGGTGAAACTTAGACCTCTAATTACTTATACCTATGCAGACAAATATCCTAAACAAAAGCTTAGACAAAAATCTAAAACGGCCCTATTGAAAAAAAACACATTCATAATAGAGAGATGACCATACAGAAATGTATGTTATACATCCCATTGTCAGACTTCAGAAACAACACTATACAAACAACTGTCTAGCCACAGAATGTTTTTGAGCAACATGTCACCCAGCTGGAAAAAAACTTTGACCACCTAAAACATATGATAAACATGACCCTATTAGTGTTGGTGAATAGAAATAGAGTGATCAAAATAAGTTTACTTTATGGCATTTGAATGGTATTAGTTTTTTTTTTATCAGCTGCTGTAACCCAAACCCTGAATAAAAAAGCTGCGACAACTAGCCAATCAGAGATTTTAAGGTTGTTTTTTCTTCTAAGCTTTCAAATAATATTTTCTGTTTGCAAATTAGTGACAGAATTTTTGTGAAAGTTTACTATACCCGTCATTATATTTATAGAGAGAAACTTATGAACACATTGCATCCGAGCCTAGCACTACTACATCATGATGGATGTGCCAACACCTCAACAAGTACACAAATATAGACTACCACTACATGTCTAATCTTTCAGGCAGAACTGAGAAGTGAATAATACTGTTTTCCACCAGAAAATCTTTTGGTTTTTGTTTTTTTCTTTAAAAAAGTTACATCACAGTGGAGATGCTAATTTACTACTTTTAAGAGAATTTTGTCATTACTTAACATAAATAGTAAACATCTTTATGTATATATGTACATATACACACAATATATAGGAATCTATCATCAAAATAAAACACAATGAAATGTTGCAATGTTTACCAATGCCCAGTTAAAAATATAGGGAATAAAGAATTTCATTGCACACAAAAACTGAATAGCTTCCTAATGTTTCTTTTCATAATCCCCAACTTTCAATAGTAAAAGTTGCAAAACTATTCATTAAGGTCATGCATCATTATTTGCTAAAGACATTGGTTGATGCATTTGAGCCAGAATTCCAAGCAATAAATACCATTTGAAAAAATGTATAACAAAAATTATTTTTTTACTTTGTCAAACACCTAATACCAATTATATCAATCTTTTAATAGTTTTAAGTCAACCTTACCCCCCCCCCTCCCTTTTGACACATAAAACTTTGAAGTGGGATATGTAAATTGCCTGCACTCTCAAAGCTACATTTTCATCTGTCTTTGAGTTAGAATGAAGAATTTTCAGTCAAGTGACAGTCAGTTCCAGAATAAGCCCGAGCTCAACACTCTGTCAAAGTTATGGCTTCCCAACCAAAGTACAGCCAAGCGGACGGGTGTATGGACACCCAGATACTACTACTTGGAGTTCAATGGTAGACACTGATAACTGAGGTAACTTAAACATTTTTAATGGGATTAGCTTGGGAACTTTGTGATCCCCCACCTCAAATAATAACACTATAATATTAGTTCAATTAGTAAATACATGAAACATATTTGATGGCACCTTATGCAGATTTTAAATTTAAAAAAATAAGACATGTCTCAGTTAGTGTTGACATTCTTAGTGAAAATCATTAGTAAGGACATACCTCCGGTTTAACTAGAGAAAAAAAAAAAAGGAACTTTTCACTAGAGACACAATCGTCAAGGAAATCAAAATAATGGCACAAAATATCTTTTCCGTCATAAATTGCAGATAGAGCACAACAGACAGGATATACAGGTGGGATGGAGCTGATACAATTACAGCATGGCCACTGTCACATAAATCTACATGAGGATGTGGCACAGAAAAAGTGAAGGGAAAACTGCTTTAAAAAAAAAATGAATCCTATTACTTAAATAGCCACACAAAAAAGAACATGTTTAATCAGCCAAATGTTTACAGTTAAATTTACTTAGTTTATTGCAGGTCTCAATGTGTCCATTGACACCAGCTGTTCACTGTTGCAATAAATGGCACGTTTCAAATGACGGAAATGGTTAAAACATTAAATAAAAGCTTGGGACCATTGAAATAAAGCAACAGGCTTACTCCAACAAAAAAAATAAATTAAGGTAAAAATCACAAATTAGTTATAATGAAATAATTATAAATGGCAGGTTTCATGCATTCATTATAAATAATTTTTTCCAAATCAACTAACCTGATACGGTAACTGTCATGTTCTACATCTACAATCTACATCATGACAGCATAGTAATATTAGTTAAAAATATATTTTTTTTTAAAGTTTAAAAATTATGATAAATAAAATGAACAAGCGCTAATAGGAAACAACATTCATAACACTGATAAGATGAGATGTAGAACATACATCCAATTAATCACACAATGAATGAATGTTTCGAGTATATCAATTCAGAAAAACCAGCTGTTGATTTAGATAATCAAGATGTCTGAAAATAACCTGATGTAGCTTTACATTTGGCAGTCACAATATAAATAAAAGTTGCTGAAAATCTTTGCTTGTATAATGTCCAGCTCAGTAAAAGCATTGTGTAATAATTTTTTTTAATTTTTATTTTGATGTGCATTGGTCATTCAAATACAATGTTAAAGGAACATTTTCACAATGCTTTTTTTCATTTACCATAGTACATTAACACTGGTTGAAAATTTTTTTTGCAGGTTTCTTAAGTCGTAGGACATGTTTCTGTTTTATAGCATGACATCATAAATTACATCCCTCAGCTGGATATCTGTTTGTTGTAAACATTGTTCTCTTATTACAAAAGCAAAAAAAGCTTCCTTCATAACATAAATTATTAAATGCAATGCTTTGAGATCACATAGAGCAGCAACAGATAGATGAACTGAACATTAAAAAAAGGTAAAAACAGCTTATTGTGTAAATGTAATATGAGCAAAATAAACAAAACGAGACAACAAAAAAAGAACAAAAGAAAACAACGCACAAAAAAACAACAAAATCACAAAAAAATCTGGAATGGAATTATTAAAAAGAAAAAAAAAAAGGCAATTAAACAGCAGCTAAACCACAGGAAAAGATTTAAAATAATCAATAAGATAATGCAAAATAAATAATGCTAGAAGTTATGTACAAAGATATGCCTCGTTGTTTAGCTGTACATAATTATAGAAAAAAATTCTGTCAAGTGATAGTCATGTCATCAATGAAAAGTATGTAATACAATGTAAGAGATCAATATCAATACTGTTGTTGAATTTTGATTTTAATAAACAACGACAAATCTTGTGTTGTTATTGAAGACAATTTACATTTAGTTATTTCAATCAGTCTCTGAGGTACATCTGAAGAATGTTCACAACATATATTGAGCATTAGCCTTTGACCCTACAGCTGATTTGGTTAGTATATATCAATCCTACTAAATCCTCTCTGACAGAAAGCTAATTATAATTTTTTTTTACCCGAACAAGTTTTTATTTAGTCCACTTTCCAACTTATTAAACTGCAATAAAACAAACCTTTTAGTCCCAAGGAAAAAAACCTTTTAGTCCCAAGGAAAAAAACCTTTTAGTCCCAAGAAAAAAAACCTTTTAGTCCCAAGGAAAAAAACCTTTTAGTCCCAAGGAAAAAAACCTTTTAGTCCCAAGGAAAAAAACCTTTTAGTCCCAAGCAAGAACTGCTGCAGGAAATGTCCACTCAAACTACATAATACTTTTGGCAGCATACAGAGACCTTTTCAGGTTTTTGAAAACAAATGACCAAGAAATAAGAAATGTATACGGTACTAAGATCCATAAAAACATTTTATCTCTTGACAGTCATTTTAAAAAATCTTTTAATGTAAACCAGAAGAGTCAAAATATGCGATATTTTGACCTGAGACTATGTTGAAATAAAGAGTTCCATGTAAGGACAAAGAAATCACATAACATTGAGCAACTGAAAATTCAATAAGATCTTATACATAATAATCAAATAGAATATCTCCAAAATCAATGAGAACAAAATACATGGTTAAATTGAGTAAGTAAATAGAGATTGTTAAAGCTCAACAACATGATCAAGTTTACACCTGTAAGAGGCAGCATGTTGATTAAATTAACTGTTGGCATCAATAATTTAAAAAAAAGAGATAAAAAATTTGGACTCAGTTAAATGTGGTTAATGTGTAGCATTTGGCTTGCCATTATCACAGCCAAACAACATTATGGGGTTATTAGTGTAGATCCACTGACACACAAGCTTCACTTATTTATCCCTTGCTGTTAACATTCATAAGACATTTCAGAAGTATCAACTTTATAAACTAAACAAATAAATCAGACTTAGTTATTTTTAGAATGGACCCATTAATTAATATTTTTTTCAAATATATCTTACCATAGTTAAATTGGAGAGTTTTTAAATTTGAGTTTCATCAATAGCATTAATTAAAAATTAATAAGTCATGTTAAAGAATTTTAAGTTAGTTATGTGGCCCATTTGAATTTTAAAAGTTTGTTTACAAACATTAAAATTTAGGTTATTCATGCACTGAGTTTACAATAGAACCTGATGTAATGTATGCTTATATCAGATTGATTGGGTTTAACTTACCAGAGGTAAGTATGAGCTTTCATTTCTTTCTGAAGTCATTTCAAACAAAAACTTCTAAACATGAGTTTAGTAAAAGCACATTTCAATATAATATCAAACCATCTGAATTCAAAAGTGAATTTGGACTGGTTCTTTGTGTGAATCTATCAAATGACTCTTAGCAACTCCTGTTTGTTGCATTAATAATGAACTGACTACAAATCTACATTCAGAAAATATAGCACAAGATTCAAAGCATTGAAACAAGCAATGCCTCATAAACAAATAAATAAGGTTAGTGTTAATATCCATTAATAAGTATGGTACAAGACTTAAACCTGTCTTGTTTATTCAAAGTATCATATCAGGATTGGCTCTCTCTCTACTCTTTAACATCAGAGCTAATCGTTGGTTTTATGTCTGCCAAGTTAAATTAAATTAATATTTTGGATTTACAATAACATAATGCAAATACTACAAAAGTAACTTTTAAATAGCTCATTTTGAAAGAAGAAGTATTTAAAAAGGAAAGGAAAAAACTAATAACTAATAGTAATCTTTCTTTAGCTATTTTAGCTATCTTTGTGTGCAATCGGGATGCATTAAATCTGATGTTAATGAGTACAAAAATTAGTAAAAACTGAATGCACAACTTTCCCTGTATCGACTTGACTTAATAAATTATACATTCTATAAATATTTTAAAAATTACTTATTAAATAATATTTTTTTTTTATATATTCAAGAAACTTGCTTTTGATTCTTTACCATTAGCTCGGGATTGGCTATATGAGCAGTTTGAGCCGTTTGGTTGAGCATTTACTCTTGAGACAGTTGAAGGGGAAGAAGAAAGCCTGCTGTGACCAAAGTGGCTGAAGCCAGGAGATGAATGCTGAATTTGACCACTTGGGGCAGTCTGGAAATTCTGAGATTTGATGCCTGTAAAGGACTGAGGACCACTAGCAGGCTTCTTTGTAGCTGTTTCTCCAAGGCTTAGGTACTGAGGGGAGGGCTGGCTTGGGTATGGATCTGTGCAGCATGGCTCATAGCTCACCTTCTGAGCAGCCGGGCCATTGACAGCAACAGGCCCATATTCACCGACATCATAGGGCACCTCTTGCTTGATATCTAAACTCATGTTGATGCCAAAAGTTGAAGGGTTAGAGAGGCTGATGTCGGGTTTATAATATTGAATTTGTGTGTTGAATCCCAGGGAGGATTCATCTCCCGAACCCGACGCTTCTGTGTCAATACTGTTGTCTCCCCTGATAAGTCTCTTACATTTTTGCTTCCTGGTGCTCCAACTTTCCATTGGAATGTCCTTTCCTTCAGCACTAGCAGCAAGTGCCTCCAGATACTCAGCCTGCATCTGGATCTGCTCCAGCGTCATTTCTTTGGATGAGTCACCCAGCGACATCCTGGAATCGTCATCCTCGTCACTGACATCTTCTTTCACTTCAGTCTTTGGCTTGTGATCGATCACCGGGAAGACCACCTCTGACTCGTCTAGTGTCGGCAAATCTCCATTCTGGTGGTCTCGAAGTTTCTTCAGTGCCAGGTAAAATGGCACCTTGTCTGCTGCTCTTGGTAGCTGTGCACATCTTGCACTTGAGGATGGCATCACAAACAGAATCTGGGAGTTGAAAGCATGAACCTCTCGTAACAATTACATTGAATTAATTCTTATATACACATAAAAAAAAGTCAAGAAGAATATATTATATTATCTATAATTAAATCTTTGTCTACTAATAAGATCACATACCAGTCTCATCAACCAATGATTCAATGCTGGCTCTTTCTTTAAACAGTTCTTACTTTCAGTTATTAATAAAATAATTTTAGCACACATAGATATTTATCTGAAAATCAATTTTGAAACATTTAAGAGAGTAAGTTCTATATATTTTCCCTGATGTTTAAAGTCAGGCCTGAGTAAATGAATCATGTTGACATAACCTTTGTGTCAACAGAGATGTACTCACAGTGTCTGTTCCTTCCACTTTCTCAGGCTGCTTGCCTATGTTAAAATTTTTGTTTCCACTGAATACTTCATAGATTCCTGTCAAGTAAAAATGCCTTAAATTTAACGCAGTTTTAAATACCCAGGACTATGAAATTGAGAGCATATTTATTTTCTATATCTAATAATAATAATAATAATAATAATAATTGTTTACCTTTGCCATTGAACACAGCTATTTTGGGCTTGTATAATGCTATTTTCTTTCTCAGTATTTCAGCTCCATCTCTAATTTCTTGCCTTCAAAACAATAATAATTTTTTTTTTTTTAATCTAAAGCAAATGAAAGCAAGGTGAAGAATAGAAGCAAAATGTTTCCAATAACAGTAGCAGCTATAGAATGACAGAAATAGTACTTCACAAATTGGAATTTTTTTTTTTTTGTGAGAGGAGCAGTAAAAGATTTGTTAGTGTTTTTAAATTGATGGGCATTAAAATCAATTATGAACAAAGATTATTTTATATGGCTTTTAACAGAAATTTGACAACCCATAAAATTGAGTTAAAGCTCTCACTTTTTAAGGTCTGCACTCCCTCTGGTTGTTCTTGCACATATATTTGTGAAACCGATCCCATATGAAAGCAGCTTGTAATCATCATATGCATTCATTGGTTCGGGTATAAGTCCTGATAAGTAGAGACACTTCCCTGGATGATGGGGTAAAAGGAAACACTTTATAAACAGGTCTCGGAGGTGGATCCATTTTAAAACATTAACAAGCAACAAATTGTTTTTCTAATCTCACTAAACTCTTAGATATGATATTATTGTTTATTTAGTCTAGATGAATTAGTTTTTCAAAAATGGTTTAAGACCATTTCTAGTTCATAATTTGTAAACATCATTTTACAATTAATATTAAGCATATCTAACGGCATAAAACCATTTTTTTGTTAGGTCTTTGCTTTTCATTTCAGTATGGATCATGAAGACATTATCACTTACTAACAAATTAAAAACATAAAACACTCAGAGTTGTTAAAATTATTTTAAAAAGCCATCAACAATAAACACCTCTTTAGCCATTTTTCAATTCAGTTACTTTTCTCAGTGCCCAAAGGTAGAGCCGAAATGGGGACACATTATTTGATAATGCCCTTAAAAGGTAAACTTTTATTTATTTAATATTTTATTTAAGTGGATCATAACCGACATTAATTCTGTCATGAACAGACGCTGAAATGTTAAGACAATCTAAGACTGAGAAAGAAAGAAGTGAAATAAGATGATGGTACTATGAGGTGAACAAGTTTGTTTCAATTATCAGGCTTCATAAATAAATGTATCTTTGAAAGAAACCAGCAACAACAAAAAACAACTCACAGAAGTGATTTCCTGGCCCAGCATAATGGTGACCCACATATGCAGCAAACAATCCTGGATTAATGCCAATCTAGATAAGAAAATGTTATTTATGAAATTAAAAACCCATAGGTTACAAATTTTTGGGTTGGGTTAGCGTAGGCAGACAAATTTTAATCCCACACCAAGCTGGCCTCTGTCTTCAAAATCTGGTGTTTGAAGTCTATAACTCATGGTTACCTCCTCCCTAAGAAGAGCTGCCTTACTGAGCTGACAATTCCATTCCATAAAAAAAGAAAGATTAAAATATCTCCACTACTTTTTAACATTCTAAATTCTTGTAATAAACTTTGAAGGCCATAAATACATTGCTCTCGTCATAATAATCAGATCTAAGGCTATCATGTGGTGAATTACTATATAATTGTTAACAAAGTGATAAAAGATAATGAGTTTATCAAATATTTTAGTGAAGAATTTTTGTTAAAAAAAACCTTTATGCTTTAAGACACCAAAAAGTAACAAATATTTCTTTCCACAAAATTAAACACATGTGCACAAGAAAAGTTTTCAGCTTACAATGAGGATATCAAGGTTAGGTGCTAGGTGGTCAGGAAGTAGTTTCTGTAATACTTCTTCTTCTGGCATCCCATTAAACCTGTCTCTTCTTTTCTTGACAACACTCAGCTGGTCTGTCACTGACTCTTGCTTGATTCTTTTTTCTCCAGTTTTGCCCTCACTTTCACCACTGATACACATTTTTCAAAGAAGGTAAAACCCATTTTGGATCATCAAATTGTCAAAAAGTGATAGTTCAAAGTTTTCCTTAGAATCATTTTATTGAAACATTTGATGTCAAGAATACATATGTAGAGGTACATATAATCTACTTTATTTAAAATCGAATAATTTCAATCAAATTAAAATAGGTAATGTGGGCTAAGCCCAATTATGTTGTAGTATACCTTTCATCCTTGACTTTCTTAGGCCGTCCTCTTTTTTTAGGCTCTTTTGGTATTGATAGTGGTGGTCCACTTGAAGACTGTGAGTAACTGTCTTCTTCTGCCTCTACCTTGACATGGGTGGCTAGAATTTCAGGGTTAAAGCTGAAAAGCAATTTAATAAAACAGTGATAATTGGAAGAACAAAATTCAAATAATAAAATATTACAGACTATCTATATTTTATACTACTTTTAAAAACTAAATTGACTAAATTACATTTGACTTGTAAATAAAGTATTGTTACCATTTTCTTTACTTAAATTAAATTGCTGGCATTTTTTTTGTGTAAATTATAAAGATCAAAAGCCAAATTTTTTTGGAAACTTTTAGGTTTGTTAAGCAGTGATTTGTTTATGTTAAATTATTGAACTTACTAAGATGAAACTGGCAAGTGACTGTTGCTGTTCCACTGATAATCTTGATAGTCAGAGCCAGTATCCCAAGGCTCTTGTTTAATTTGATTCATATTGTCTGCAAAACAAAAAAAAAAGCAAAATATTGTACAAACAAAACTTTATCAGTTAAATCAAAGAAACATTACACAGTGGGGACTATGATCTGGTGTTGTAAATCTGATAGCATTTAAGGATACTTCCATAGAAATCTGATCTGAAAAACTAGTACTACTGGTCTTCCTGCACTCAATAGAAGAAAGCTCTGTGACATCACTTTCTTCCGTATACCTTCTCTCGAACACAGCATAAGATAAGTTCTCCTCTTGTCTTCATTCTCTATTTGTACTGTTTAGTTTGCTGTCTGTATATAAGCATTCACTGTACGTTCCTGGCACATTCCAAATTTTAAATAAAATTTAAAAGACATTCTTGCTATCAACTGTTCTATTTATACACTTTATGTCAATTGCCATGTGTGCTTTTCATGGCTTCAAAGCTTTGAACTGCTGGTTAGGATCCTAATGACCTACAGATTAAAATTTTATCTACAGTTTCAATTTGTAGGATTTGTGCAATCCATTCCATTTCATTGCATTGTAACAATCATCAGTTACTTCGTAACGAGAACATCAAAATCAAAGGGAATAATTCATTTAAAATTTTAAAGACAAGATAAATATTTGCATAATCTTTTAGGAGCCCACACTTCCCCCTTTGAGACTAGGCCCAGTATAACTTGTCCAAATGACATCAAAATAAACAAGCCAACATCTCAAGGGGGATATTAAGTTTTTAACTACACAGTAAGTACTTAACTAAAAAATTCAAAGTGGTTTTATATTAAATAAATTTAGATCATAAATTGTAATCCAATGATACTAAATTTATGTTTTTATGTCAAGTAGCAAAAAAGTTTGTTGGAATTTTTCCATATATATTTATCCTAAATCTGTGACTAATCAGTCATTTCACCACAAACATCTGCACTAAAACTGTCACAACTTTTTCAATTAAGGTATAAAAAAAGTAATGCCAAAACTGTCTGATAAAATGGGGAGGGGAAAGGGAGAGAATGTGCAAATTAGGAAAAAAAATTTTAAAATTTAACGAAAAATCTTCAATGCTAAAATCTACTACACTACCTAACCTGAATGCTAAGTCAGTATCCATAACTCAAACATAAATTTCGTCCCCTTTAACTAGAGCATAAATTTACCTAAAAACCAAGTGTTCACATGCTACGGTAACACATTGTACTGTGCTGAGAAAATTGTAAATTTGATTAATAGATTAACATTTTTTTTAACATCAAAATATTGAAAACGAAACTTAAAGTTTCATTGAATTGAATACACTTTTACACACTTTATTGCAGGTTCTACCAAAAATAAAATCCAAAAGATGTTAGAAAAAAATTTCCATTTTTCTAAATGCCAGAAAATTAGCCTCCTTTAAATATTATAATTAACCACCAAATGAAATATTAATTTAAATTTAAAACATTTCATGAGCGCATTAATATTAAAATAGGAAAAGTTAACTGTAGTAACAATACATGAATAAACTAAAGGAAGAGAATCTTGCACACTGCACAGAAACTCAAAGTTGCACACCAAACATAAGTTGACCAATAATTTAATGCAAAAGCCTCCTTTTTCCAATATGAATTAATGCCGTATTCAACTTATTGGCTGGCAATAGTCAAATAGGTGTGTTTAATAATATTTAATTTATTTGTATGTCCAATGTCCAAAGTCTTTAAAAAATATTTTGAATTATCAGATTTCAGCAAATTTGCTTTTGAACGATTGGTCGCAAATGTATTTCATTGCTAAGCACCACTAAGTAGCCTAAGTGAATTAAAATCAAAATGGCCTTTTGTATAGTATTAATAATCTCTTATATAATTATAATTATATTATTTTTTTTTTTTTTCCTTCAGGTATATGTTGCTTCCTTTTCTAAAACGCCTTCCCCCCACAACTCCACATGTTTTATATTAATGGTACGGAGTGGGAAAAAAAAAGGCTGTCATGCATGACAAGTGAACTCAGATAAAAAAATTTCTTTAGAGGGAGGCAAATATTATATTAATCAATTAAGAGCCACAGTCGCTGGTCATTTATTTGTTAAATAGGTTGTGTGATAGATCATTTTAAAGAGAACTGGATGCAGAACAATACTGTGTCTTCTCATTTTAAATCAAGAATTTTTTGTAAAATTAAAATTGTATCAAGTTGAATAAGCTAAGGGTACTATTTAATTTCTCGTCCATTCTCCACCCTTTGTGATTTTCATGATAACCACTGTTTAAAAGCATCCAATTATCTACAAGAATGGGCAAATAAAAATTCCTCCAACCTACCCCAACAATAGTATTAAATTTTCTAGAAAGTCACCACATGGGTGTTTCCTCCCTGGATCCATTTTCATGATGGTAGAAATTTGCTCCTGATCACCTCAGCAAATAATTTTTAAAACTTAAGTAATCTGATTACTAAACAATGTTAAAAGCGCTATTTTAAGTTATATGAGGTAAATATTATTAGCTAAGGAGTCATATAATTAGATAATTTCATCATATAATTAGATCATATAATTTCATCCTGCCAAGTGCCAGACACTATCAATCTCTAGAAGTTGTACTCCTCTACACTACCAATACAAACTGCACGGCCATATTCTTGAGCAAGTTTCCTCCGTAAAGTACCTGGGTGTTACCATTCAAAGAGAGGTCCGCTGGGACGAGCATATTAACAATGTATGTAACCAAGCAAACCAAGCCTTGGGGTTCTTAAGGCGAAATCTAAAGATTGGCAACTCCTGTGTGAAAGAAAGAGCATATAAAGCCTTTATCCGTCCGATTTTAGATTATGCATCTTCAGTCTGGGACCCATTTACCCAGAAGAGCATTGACAGGTTGGAGGCGGTCCAGCGACGAGCAGCACGCTTTGTCCTAAACCGCTACAGGAATACCTCTAGTGTTGGCAGCATGCTAGAAACACTAGGCTGGTCACCATTGGAGAAACGACGACGACAATCCAGGCTCTCCATGATGTACAAGATAAATAATGGGCTGGTCCACTGTTCCAGTATTAAACAGAAACTCGTCCCTCTCCCCCATAGACAGCGACGAGGCCATGACAGGCAATTCAGGCTCATACCAGCAAGAAGCCAGTATAGGAGCTGCTCATTCCTGCCCAAGACAATCAGGGACTGGAACCATCTTTCAAAAGGAACAGTTGAGGCGACAACACTAGACGCATTTGTGTCTATTGCCTCAAGCCTTCAAACCCCTAGTGCATAATTTCCTCATCACCACCAGTAACAGAAACATTGCAAATCCCATCTACATGCATAGGAGCCAAAATGATCAATAAATTGATCGTGGGCCCTTAAGATATAGAAGAAGAAGAAGAAGATATTTAATTGTCTTTCTTTATTTCCACCACTATATAATAGGCTTATTTAGGAGTTTGGTCTAAGCTGCTTGATGTGTAGCACAGAAATGTGAACAAAAATTGGTTTTATATTCATAATAGATTTAAAATTAAGATATATTTAGTATTAAGATGAATTGGTATTTTAAAATACTTCACACAAAAAAGACTTCATTTTATTTTAACTCATTCCCAGCGGTTGGGACTAAATGCATCCTTTGGAGTTTCGACAGATGCATTCAAATGCATCCCAGTGCATAGTGACACACCACTCTCATTTCTATTTAAAAATAGCAATGAAATCTCGCATCCCTCGAAACTTCTGACGATGGCCCGATTCAGCGTGATTTCAATTTAAAAACCGGAAGTTTTTATCTTGTTTCACTTTAAAACTATGTGTGCTTTAGTATGGCGCAACTATATGTAACATGTGTTCGTCCGAGGTGCTGAAAATTGATTTTTTGGTCATTGTTCATTATTTTTTCGCCGCTAATTTTATATTTTTAATAAACCTTATTCATTTTTTGGGTCCTTTGTTCTTAATTCATTAACATTAAATAATATTTAGCAGCTTAAAAAAATATTTTACTAATTTAAATCAATTTCAAAACAGAGTTACTTTCCTTTCTCAGGCATATAAATTAAGTACGGAAGTAGCCCAGACGTAAGTAATGAGTTAAAGGCCTATGATTTCCTCAAGTTAATCATGTTTGCAATTTATAGGAATATTTTTTAAAGCAGCACAATTCTTTTTTAATGGTAGGGCTTCTATGAAAAACTAATGCTACACTTAGCAAAAAGAAAAACAAATTAAAAGAAACCCCCAAGCCTCTATTATAATCTGAATATTGCATTTTTTCATCAAATTTTTATTTTGCATTGATATAAAATAAATTAAATTTTTAAGGGACACTTGAGTTTACACTTCAATATGCTACTTATTATTTTTCTTCTTTTCATTATAAACAATTTGATCTACATGACCATATATTTTGGAGAATATTTTTCAAGTTGTATTCATATTCAAATATGACAAAGGAAATTTGATGGCCATTTTGAATATTAATATGCAGTCATCTCGAGTACTATGGAATTTATTATATGACATTTGGATAATGTTATTACAATCACAGATTATATGGTCATGGTGTGAAATAGTTATCTTCATTTATTTCTTAAACTTCAATATACTGCTCTTTTTAACATAATATAACTCAAATCTCTGTCCAGTTTTCATTTTAGTTACTTTTATATTTTCCTTTACCGGGAGTCTCAATTAACCCTTTACAGTCCAAGCCTTTTCTACTCCCAGAGACCAAGCAAAGGGACATAACTCCATTTTAAATGAAGATTCTATATCTAATTTATTTATAGAAAATAAACTATAAGCAAGAAAAGAAAAGAAAAATAACCAAAATACAAATAAATGATTTAAGCAAAAGTTGCACCTATAAATAGTTTCCCAGACCACTCATGATCTTGCTGATCAGCTGGAGTGGAATTGATAGGTCTTTTGTCATCGATGTATCTACTATTACTATTATCTTCTTCACTTGAATCCCTATTACCAGTCGTGTCATTTAAATTAATGTTTATATCAGATTCTTCAATATAGCTGCTAGATTCATGAAATAGTGAAACTTCATTAGGCCTAAGTTCTTTCAAAATTTTATCCAAGGCTTGGAAAGCCATTCTAGTATCAAAATAAATGCAGACAACAAGGCTTTCTTCCAGTAGAACTATAAAAAGTAGGAATGAGCAAAGGATTTCCGCTGTGCTAAGAATGAAAGTAAACAACCTCAAAACGATGGGTTTGGCCGCAACGGACTGTAAGCTTAAGGCTAAGGAAAAAATCGGCTTATTTCGTGCGCATCGGACTGTAAAAGTGTCAATAGAGTTACCCCCAAATGATTCACAATAGAAATCATAACTTTCTTTAGAAACGAACAACAAACATTAATTTTGGTATCAATGAATTACATTTTTCAGGCCCTCTCTAACCAACTAGGGAACTAGCTCTTCCAGCTATACTAGTATACTATAACTATACTATAACTTCATTTTGAAAATTTTACCCAAGCAAGTACCTAGCCACAGTTAGATCAGTTATGGTGTAGAACTGTCTGGAAGACTATATTGTTTAAAGGCGGCAAGATGGTATAGCACTGTCTGTAGGCCTATTTCTCAAAATACCCCTTGTAAAAAAACTATATGCTGTTAAGCCTTTAAATATTTATTTGTATGCTACAACTCTACACAAAAAATTCCGAATTCTAATTTTTTGTGGTTTACTTTATTGACTACTTAAACATACATATGCTCTATGCATAACTCAAATCAGTAGTTAAATCTTGGACAATTAATAAGATTAATGATCTTAATGATGCATCAGTATAAATCGACCAATATGTACCTTCACTTACACTGTGTGAAAATTGCTAGGATTTTCTCAGTCTATCTTTTCTTCTCTTTGTGCAGTGTTTATCATTTTTGCTGAACTTCCTTTCATTTAAGTTAAAATATCTTTTATTGGTCGTTAATATTATCAAATAACCAATCAAAATATTTGTAACACTCTTAGAGCTCTTGGACATCGATATGTCAGAAAGCACGAAAAAAGTTACATTCTGAATACTAAAGAGTTCTTTTGTTGAAATTGTCGCAAAACGTATCTAAATATGCATTAAAAAATAATTTAAAAATTGTGATTGTATTTCTATTTTCACTTAATTTCCCAAGGCTACTGTACAATGTCTTGTATTTTTACAATTCTACCAAATTTCCATTCGACAAAATTTGTTTCATACAAAGCTCTGGTACCATTATATGCCGTAAATAAAAATTATAATAAAATCAAGTTGCTTACGCCTACATTTTTATGACAACAATAGCCTCAATAGGTTGTTTATAAAATTTAATAATTAATAATACGCCTAACTACGATTTTCTTTGCGGTTTCTGATTTAGAGCTTAAATGAAAAGGGTTTACCGTAAATTAAACACAACTAACCAACGGCCACCGCCAGATATTGTAAATAAATTAATAATAAAATTAAAAGATAAATGCTGAAACAATAAATCATTTTGAATGATTTTGTACACCTGCATAAACATACAGTATACATTCAATACAGAAAAAAAGTGTGTGTGGGGGGGGGGGGGGATGGTCGTCAATGATGCAGAAGCATTTGAGTCCGAAATTTCATTTCAGTCAGAGTGGACGCTGCTTACAGGGCTGGACTTAGACTATCTTAGGGCGGGGGAGGGGGGGGGGGTTCCAGAGGCCCCAGTCATTTTATATTGCATTAGCTGGTCAAAGAAAAATAGAAATATCAAATAGGCGTAACTATATAAGATAATACTAATATCTTTTCAAATATATAGTGTTTTTTTAATAATAAAGAACGTGTTTACAAATTACAGAAATGATTATATAAAATAATCCTGTAAAAGACTTTAAGTTACAACTTGAAACTTTTTCCCTTTGATTTCTTAAAAGCAAAATCGTTTAGGCCTATGCCATATGCCTATATCATGAAAAGATGTGCTATGTAACTTATCGCCTTCTATACACACAATTCTAATTGCAGACACTGTTTCTTGAGACATAGTTGCTCTCATTTCATATGTTATTCTTTTCAGCTGTGAAAATGATCTTTATCCCGAAAAATTGTTTCGATTCAACACAGGAATATTCGAAATTTTGCTTCAAATTGGCAAACAATTAACTCAATCTTGTCTTCAAAGATGATATGATACAAATCTTATATAGTTATGGAAGGGCTTCGGTTCACTCGTGAGATTATTATCAACATGTGTGGATACTCTTTTAATAACGTATCTGCTGATTGATGTAGCAGTACCTCTGAAACTTTTAAATCAATTAAAAATGAATTATTTACAACATAATTGTAGATTGTTGGTCTTCTCGTTAAATTTGCCCCAACGGTGTCTATGATGTGAATGAAGAAATTCACATAAAATTGTCTCTGGAGAAAGCTGTTCATCTGCATTAGGTGCAGCTCATTCATTGGTTTGTTTTAGTTTTATTCTCACCCTCTTTATTTTCGCTGTAGACTTATATTCTTCACCATGCAATCTATTATATATCCTTTTTCAATATCATCAATATATGTAAACGTTTTGAAAACCATTAAATACCGGTTGTGCACAAAATATATTGTAATTGTATTACACGTGTTATATTACAAGAAATAATTGCGATGAAAAAAGAATCTAGATTCTTAAGGTTCCCGTGAATTTAGCTCCCGACAACAAGCCCCCCACGAAGAGCCTCCCTCAATTCAATAAGGCACCTCACAAAGGGGCTTCCCTCCACAAAGTTCTAGCAATAGGCCCCCGCCAGTAAGGCTACCGACAAGTACCCCCCCCCTCCCCCGGACAAAAGGACTGCCGACAAAATGGCCCCTGTAAATCACGCTGGATTTAACCTTGAATGCTAATGTAATAATGTTGCAGATATGTTTCTGAATCGAATGTTATTTAGTGTATCCATAATATCCTACTGCTATAATAAGACTACCTTGTCAGATAACCACCCATTTCATGCTTCTCTTAACATTTAGACATGAAAAAACGATATTTTGATCATACGGTCTTTCCGCCCCCCCTTTTTTATAAATAATTCGCGAAAAACATTAATCTCCACAGCACTTCTTGTTGTGACCCGAAATAAAGAAAGAATACTGCAGATCGTGTCATTCTTTTCAATTAGTGGGCAAACCCAAACAGAAGATACCAAAAGCTCCTCTTCAACCCATTTCAGAGTTTGAAAAACCATTCAGTCGCGTGATAATCGAGTGCGTTGGACCTCTGAGAAAGACGAAATCGGGTCACCAATGCTTACTGACAACCAATTGTGCGTCAAAACGGTTTCCAGAAGCTATTCATCTTCTTTTAATATCAAACATCCCGAACATCTTTAAAGCCTTGACGAAGTTTTTTACATTGTTTGGTCTTCCGAAGTCTGTACAGTCGGACCAGTAAACCAACTTTTTCAAGGCTGGAGTTTTTAAACAAGTGATGAATCAACTGGGAATTGAACACAGCTTGTCAATTGCATTCATGGTCAGTCGCATTATGAGAACGTATTATCAAGAAAAGATAAAGACTGAGATGAAGGAATTAACTTGCTACTGTTTGCCGCCAGAGAAGCAGTTCAAGAATCACTTGGATTAGTTGGATTCAGCTTCGTTGGACCGGTGTTTGGCCATATAGTTCGCATCTTCCTTAAACTTTTCAAATATACGCGGATGTCACCGGCACCCACTGAAGGACTTTTGGACTATGTCTTAAAGTTAAAAATAATCATTTTAATGCATACAATTTGGCTAAATCCCATTAAAAAATATTATCAATGTAAAATAAAAATGTGGTACTATAAAAAGGCCAAATTCAGACAGTTTTCTTCATTGGAAAAAGTGCTTGTGCTTTTGCCGATACCAGGACAGGCACTGCAGGCTACGTACTTTGGTTCCTAGGAAGTTGACTCCAAAATTAATGACCCTACTATTATATTATGTTAACGCCAGATCGTAAAAGAAACCCATAATTTTCATCAATAAAATACCATTAAAGCCCATTTTGGAGCCCCAATAATGCGGAGGCATCTTTGCCCCTCTTAGCTACGCTTCTGAAGTGTTGTTATTCCTCATCATCAGGCCAAGAAGTGTAAATGAAATGTTGTTCATGGGTGCTGGTACTGGTACATTCCTTTGAAAGTTAGATCAATTTTTTTCTCTCTCGCCTTCTTGTCAGTGAATTATTCTCAATTTTCTCCGTATGAATGTCACCTACTCAAGTTTTATGCTGAAAATCAAAACATGTATCATTTTTCGTTTAAAATATTTAATTTGATTAAAAAGCGAATTCCTGATTAAATTTTCAACGCCCCTTTGGGAATACCAGGGCCCCAAAAATATCAAAAGCCGTTCAGCGCTCCCAGGGGGTGGTACCGCCCAAAAAGGACCACTGATTTGGAGTATTAATAGAGTTAGAGAGAATGAAGACGTTTACTTGATTTATTTTGGATTTATAATCTCAGTTTATTCGAAATTTAAGAATGTGTTGTTTCGTTATCATCATCAGTGGCGCTACAGCCCATGTAAGGCACTGGCCTACTCCGCAACATCCTTCCATTCAGACATCATCATCAGTGGTGCTACAGCCCTTGTAGGACCCTGGCCTGCTCCACCACATCTTTCCATTCAGACAGAGGTTACCAAACTTTGTTCACGGTGGGCCGGATAATGGACAAAATGACGAGCGGGCCGTATAATCATTCTGTGCAATACTTGCAAGCCAGAGCGAAAGCTCTGGGAAACAATACGAAAAACTAATTTTAGTATTCTGTGTTTACAGTAATCTTGGGTGAGTGCCGTGCAATGCAATGCAATGCAAAAAAACAAAAAAAAAAAAAAAAAAAAAGAGCAGAGACAACCAATATATTTATGTATTTAAAAAGTTGGCAACGTTAGCAAAAAGATAGTTACATTGTCAAAGCCGAATAGTGGGGGAAAATAATTCATTAAAAAATTCATAGCTTTACTCCTATAAGTGATAGAAAGATTAGATCTATCTTGTTGTCAATGGAAAGCTTAAAGCCAGCTCTTTCCAATAATATGCTCCTTTTGTATGTCAGATGTATTTGAAAAATTGAGTTGGAATACCTAGTTACATCAGACTTAGTGCACACTTATTCGTATCTCACAAACTAAGCAACAAAAAAGGTTCGTAAGATTTGTGACATTGACGTTTGGCTTTCAACATATCAGTGTTTGGCTTGGAATTGCTGCTTCCAATCAAAAGAATTGTTTTCAATAAATGTTCATCAATCCCTCTCGTTCGATGTGTTGATTTCACATATACTCTATTTTTAAACATGTTTGCTCACAGACATAAGTTGTTCCATGCAAGGTGCAAACGGATGCCAACTCCTCCGTCATCCGAAGGTCCAAATTGACACCACAAATAACCACGAGAAGTTGTGAGAGATCAGTAGACTCATACAGTGCCAGAGAATAACCACAGCAAAGTCCTAGATTTCTCTCGTATATGTAGCACTATGTTCTGTCCAAGTTCTTCTGTTCTCCGCACAACTGAACTTGCCGAAGGGTTGTTAGTTCCAACCGCGGCGAGTTCGATTGTTAATGTCCCCTTATGTTTCAAACACTCTTCTTGCTTTCAAACATTAAAAGGTTTGTGGTAGTTACCAGACTATAATAATATATTCGCTGAAATAGGCCAGTCCATTGTTACGCCTTCTGTCGTTGGTCTATTACCTCCGATGGCGACTATTTGATGTCTAACCTTATGTCCAACCTGTTTGGTTACTTTTCGTCTCTCTCCTGGTCACGTAACTCAAACAATGAATAGGTCATTGTAAATGATACATTTATTTAAATGTACTAAAACCTCCACTTGTTACAAGACGCAGTTGCTACATAATTCAT